TGCTCTTTGAGTCAAACGGTCAACCCCAAACAACTTCTACACTAATATAGATATAAGAAAAAATTAATAATATTAATTATTATGTAATTATAATCTAATTAAAAATTCATAATTCCCCTCCTCCCCCTTCCCCCTCCCTTCCTTCCTTCCCTTGCACCCCAATTTGGGGGGTAAGCCGAAACAGTGAATTTACGCTCACGTTTTGCACCCCCTACTGTTACAAAATAACCAAAGGGGGGTAAACACCTTGGAACTTGTGCTTACCCCTCCAAACTTGCACCCCCTTCCATTTACACCCTTTCCCAAACATAGTGTAAATAACACCAACTTGCGGTGGGCTTTTAGTCGGGCCTACTTTTCTTTTCCGCCTGAATTTCTTGACCCGTCCGTCATAATCATCATAATATAATAAACAAAATAACAAAACAAACAAACTTCATAACTTCTTGCACCCCTAATTAAATACTTAAACAACTGTTTGGCTGCCATAAACCTGTCCACAGTTGTCTTAAAACTGCGGAAGGGCTTGTATTATGTCACCGCCAAAAGGAGCTAAGCCTTAATTAAAGTGAAAATACAAGAGATTTGCTGATCTCATCAGATACAATACAACAAGCTGCACGTACCTGGAATATTTAATTCTACCAGCTGTCAAGTCCAGCCCACCAACACCAACCTCAATGTCCTCCACTCCTCCTCTCAATTTGCTGTTTGCGACTACGAATCCATCGCCTTTGCCTTTTCGAAAACCTCTCCCCTCAGCGCGTAAACGATGCTAATTGTATTAGTGATGTGCCGCACCGGAACTCGTATTGAATGTAAATTATTAATCATTTAATTGTACGTTCCGATTTTTAAACGCGACAACTGAGGATGATTGACCCATATCCATGTTAACAAACATCACTATACATTATTTATTCCAACACTCATATCTTAATAGGGATTTCCTATAGTAACTTGGAGTAAGGTAACTTGAGTTTTCTTACTTGCTATAGCAGGTTTCACAGGTCGCATTACGTAAAATACAACAGGCATTACGTAATGGTTACGTAACCTATGGTAGTCTTACGTAACAGTTGTAAAAGATCATTACGGAAGCCTTACGTAATAGAATGTGTCTTTACGTAATGAGTATTAACCTCGCGTTAAGTAAAACGCTAAGTCATTACGAAAGCCTTACGTGACGCTACTAATTTAACTGTTACGTAAGAAATAATTGTCGTTCCGTAACCTTTACGTAATGGAATATCTTTTTACGTAATGAGTATTAACCTCGCGTTACGTAAAGTGCAAAGTCATTACGGAAGCCTTATGTAACGCTTCCGATTTAACTGTTACGTAAGAAATAACTATCGTTCCTTAACCTTTACATAATGAATATGTATTTTACATAACAGTTGTAAAATGTCATTACGGAAGCCTTACGTAATGGAAGGTATTTTTACGTAATGAGTATTAACGTCGTGTTACGTAAATAGCTAAGTTATTACGGAAGGCTTACGCAACGCTTCTAATTCAATAAGAATTAAAATAAGGAAAGAATAAAACAAGGAAAATCGACTAAATATTAAAAAGGAAAGAGAATATATAAGAAAGGTAAATTGTGAAGGTGGTGACCGCCAACCTGTCGCTATTAATTTTTTTTAATTATTTTTTTATTTTTTATTTCTTTAATCAATGGTTTAGAATTAGTTTGATCGATTTTAACGGTTTAGATCTATACAAGTTACCTAACTTGAAATTATACCCAAGTTACTGTAGGAGGTCCCTATCTTAATATTATCGATAATTTTCCTTATAATATATCTCTATGAAGAGTAATAAGATCAATATATTATTAGTTTTATACTGACATACACACCAATTGCGTCCATAAATTATCTATATTGTTCATGTTAAATAAAATAAAAACGAAGTTATTTTGCTTTTTGGGTGCGGCTCGGGTGGAAAGAGTGTTGGGTTTAGAAAAAAAAAACTCACACCCAACTCAACTCACCAATTTCAAAACGGGTAAAACTCGCACTCGAGCCAAAATCCGTCAACACTAAATTTTATACGCTTTCAGCGCGTTGGGTACCCATTGATTCGAGTTCAATTGCTATCACTACAAGCTAGTTCATTTTTATAGAACCTTGATTTTTTAAATGATTCACTAAACGTGTACCTTGTAGATGAATAAAACTTGTACATATTCATAGAATAATTTGTGTTGCTATCAAAAGAAATATTGCTCTTTTATATAATATGGCCTCTAAAATTTATAATACATCACAGAAAAAAAAATTAAAATCACAATTATTTTATAATGAATACAACAAAACATATCAAGACGTTTGATGAGTTTTTGTTTCTTCCGTTAATATCCATGAGTGCATTCAAGCATTTCCAAAACTGTAGGTAGAAACTACAAAACTATATATGCTTATGCTCACTCAAAGGTCTCAACCATGTGACTGTTTTGGCATATGTCCATGTTGCTGATGGAGTATCTTAGGTAGTGTTTGCTGGGAAATAAACAAACTACAGCTTATAAGTTATAACCGTGCACCCTCAATGAAGAACACCAAAAAGGACTTATTAGGTGAAAGTCATTTCCAATTAAAAGGATTCATTTCTAACATCATATATTATCATATCAACATCATACAACTTTTTAGAGATAATAACGTGATATGACAGTAGTAAGAAAACCTGAAATTTTTTTGTTAAAAAAATATTAAAATGGATATATCGTGTAGAGCACAATACATTTATATTTCTACGCAAAAAATTTGAACTCCTAAACGAATGAACTATGGTCCGTTGAATTTTCATATGAGATTTGAAAAAAAAAATTAATATCTCACCTGAAATTCATATCAATCCCAAAAATCCTATCAGTTATCTCCCCAAACCCTACTTTCTCTCCTTATGTCTCTACAAAGATGACCATTAGATAACTTCTCTCGCAATCTCAACTAATACATTATGATTTTATAGTACTGCAAACCAAGGTTTCGGAATGTGCTAGGCAGGCATAGGGGTCCTGCCTAGCACATAGGATGCATAGGCGGTGCTTAGGAATTTTAAGCAATCATAACATTTTTACATATAGCGATGGTGAAGAGTAAGAAAGAAGGTTGTGCCGAGTGTGGGCAAGTGGGAATCGATTACCGATACCGGTTTGTAACCGGTTTACCGGTTAGCGAATTACTGGTAAACGGTTACAACCCGGTTTTACCGATTTACCGTAAAGAGTAGTTGCAGACGGTTTTTCAGTTAGCTTTACCGGAAAATTACCGAACCGAATATCTGGGCAATGGGGTGATGTTGTAATATTTTGATATTTTGAGTTTTTTCTTCATTTTTGTAATTAATAAATTATTAACCTTATTTATAATATTTTTTAGGCCTATACTTACTTACTTCCATTCATGTATGTAATATTTGTGAATAATGAAGTATATGTTATTAGTTAATGCCTTAATTGGTTCGATATCGGTATTATCGAATTACCGTCGATACCGCCTTCGACTGCCGATACCGCCGGTAAACGGTTTACCGTTTATCACCGGTTACCGGTTCGGTAAAATGGTAAACCGGTTACCGGTTCGGTAAAACGGTAAACCGTTTACCGACTTACCGTTTGTCACCCCTAGTTGTGCCGACCGAATTTAGATACAACGGGAGAGGAACTCAAGTATTACATATGGCGATGTGGTTTTGGTTGTTTAGTGATCAACAATGTTGATGAATATGATAGAGCATTGGGTCGACCAAAGTTGGAGACGAAAAACAATCCAGCTGCAGACATTGTATTTTAGAGCATGGGAGAAGTTGTTGCAATTCAGAGAGCTGTGTTGACCTATTTTTTATATATATTCCAATCGACGAAGGATGCATGCGTAGGATGGGTCATTGGGAGGAACTAATCGAACATAAGAATGTCGTCTTTTTGAGACATTATAGTTCATTCATCTATTTTCTTATCTTTAGTCACCAGACTTCCTAGCTCCGATTAAACGCGCACAATTCCGCCTAGACGATGCCTACGTATTTAAATCCATAATTTTTTGCCTAGACCCTAAGCGATGCATTTTTTCGCTGACTAATGCCTAGACGCGCTTAGACATTACGCAAAATTACTCCTTATTAAACCCTGCTACAAACTATATGATATTTAACATTTTAACCCTAACCCAAACCATAATTAGTTACCTGTTCAAACTGAAACAACATTAATACTTAACATGTTGAGTTTATGTATATAAAGCTTTGTGATTCCATCGATATCGCCTGCAAACTTCAGGTACCAAAGACGTAACTTACCGAATCTCATGTAAAGTGTGCAACTAACCTCCGGTAGGGCACAAAGCGAGAATTTTGAGGACACTCCTGTAAATATGAGACAACGTCAAAAGCACATTCGTCATTTTCAACTTCTCCCCTCAGAAATAGAGAAGAATAGAATAAAACCAAATCAGAAAATGAACAAACAAGAATTAAAAAAATGAAACAAAAAATACAGGAAGAAATAACTAAGCGGAGGACAAGCCACGTTTGTTTTTAAAGCAGCCTTCCTTCCTTCTCTGCACCTTCTTCATCTCTCCCCTTTCCTTCTTCTCCTCCTCCTCTCTCCCACCTGAAAATTTGGCCTCGTAAGCACACACGGTGAGAGAGAGAGAGAGAGAGAGAGACCGGAAAATAGGGGGAAGAGTAAGAAGAGAAATAGAGAAGAGAAATTTATGCTGCTGAGATCGAACGATTGAATGGTGTGATATATTTAAGAGAGGGGGAAATTGTAGAAGAGAAATTCGGCCGTCAGTCGGCAGCTCAATTCATTCCTCTGTTTTCTCACTCTCTCTCTCTGTGGTTCTCTGTGTCTTTGTGGCGCACGCTCAAATCAGAAGCCTTCTGTCTCCCGAAAGACTCTGTCTTTCCTTCATTCACCACAGAAAAGAAGAAAATTAGTACAACATTTTCTGAATCTCTCCACGTTTCGCTCTTCGTTCGCCACCATGATCTCCCTCAGCCGAACCTGTTTTCTGGTATACTATTTCTTCTTTTAAGGCTCGCCCTCTTCCTCTCATCTCATTACTCTCCATTTCCTCTTTGCTCGAAATCTGAAACGAGCTTTGTTTTCCACGCCCACGTACCCAAATTCTTCGATTGTTCTTTCGTATTCTGCTAGTTTTCATTTCCTGTTTTTCGTGTCTGGGTACGTCTTGTTTACGACGGCATTACATCTGTGGATTTTTGTTTCTGGGTTTCGATTTCTCTGTTTGGTTTGCAGGAAACCCCGGTAAAGTTTTTATTTTTACATAGCCCCTGGTGAAGAACACAACTATGCTTTTTTAATTGCGCCTTAAATACTTTGTCATGGAGTTCAAATCCGGATATATTTTCTTGAAAATCATATGTTTAATTTCCCCTGATCTTTTGATGACGAAATGGTGATTTCGACGTTGGTTTCTGATACAGAATAAGGCGAGCATCGCTGGCTTGTCTAGCCCCTTTTCAGATAGGCAGAGAGGAATTTTCCCTAAAGCTCCTTGCTCGTTGAAAATCAAGGCAGCGGCGGCAGCAGCAGCTTCCAACCGTGATCGAAACGGCACCGTATTAGCAGTCGAGACGGTGACAAAAGAGATGGCGGAAGCAGAATCTTTGATCGACGACTCTCAGCCCACCGTTGCTGGCGGAATCCGTGATGCGTACGGTGAGGATGCCGCCACCGAGGACCAGCCTGTGACTCCTTGGTCCCTCTCAGTTGCTTGGTATAATATACTAACTAATGTTGCTTTTTGATCTCTTCTACTATATGCAGTTTTGGCACGTTGCTTGATGGCATCACTTTGTCTTTCATGGTTTTCTGGTACAATTTTTTGGCTCATTGTCATTGGTATCATCGAAGGAGGTTTCTTTGTCAAAGTTTGGTTCCTATGATGTGGCTGGCGTGATTGGTTTAGCTGGAGTTTCTCCAATAGCACGTAAATTAGAGATATGGTAGGGATAGGTTAGTTATTGTATGAGGTATATCGATTTGCTAGTTGCAGAGGCATGGATAATAGATTGATCGAAACATCAAGAGGTTTCCCGGCTGTAAAACATGTTAATTTTTGAAAAGGAAGACATCATGTTATTGATAGCTTCTTTTTGGTTCTTGGATTAGCTATAGTGGGTGGGTGATTATGTTAGTGTTCCTTTCTTGTTTGTTGCTTTGAACTTTGTGTCTCCTTTCCATCATTGAAATGAATGGGAATGTATTTGTCATGCGGTAGATTGTTAATGATGCGTCCATGATTACTGCAGCGGCTACTCGTTGTTGAGAGATCCACGTCACAACAAGGGTCTTGCCTTCACTGATAAAGAGAGAGATGCGCACTATCTGCTTGGTCTTCTCCCACCATCAGTTCCTTCTCAGGAACTCCAGGTCATTGACCATAATTTTCAGTCTTTCTACTTATTATTCCGTATGTTCTTATATTGGTTTTTCGTCTAATGTCTTCAAGTTTCTTACAGGTAAAGAAATTGATGAATATCATTCGGCAGTATCAAGTGCCACTACAGAAGTACATGTATATGATGGATCTCCAGGAAAGAAACGAGCGCCTGTTCTACAAGCTTCTCATTGACCATGTCGAGGAGATGCTCCCAATTGTCTACACTCCAACAGTGGGAGAAGCTTGTCAGAAATATGGTAGCATCTTTAGCCGTCCTCAGGGTCTTTACATCAGCTTGAAAGAGAAGTAAGATAAATTCTATTCTCTCAGCAATAGCTACTACCAGAATCAAACTAGATTTTCTGCTGTGATTATGTCATGTCATCCATATGAAGGCGAGATGTATCTTCTCCTTTTTTCAGGGGTAGGATCCTCGAGGTTCTGAGGAATTGGCCTGAGAAGAATATTCAAGTTATTGTTGTCACTGATGGTCAAAGAATTTTGGGGCTTGGGGACCTTGGATGCCAGGTTAGCTCTCTGTACTTAGTGTATTAGCCTTGGTACTATTGAACACCCATATAGACATTCACTTGACTGATGTCACTTGATCTCACAGGGAATGGGGATACCAGTTGGAAAGCTCTCCCTATATACCGCTCTAGGTGGAGTTCGTCCTTCAGCTGTAAGCAACAGGATTAAAATTTGAACTTATTGATATCCTCTGACTCGGTATTCACAGAAAAAGGCGATCTGACTTTCTTGTAGTGCTTGCCGATCACTATTGACGTGGGTACGAACAATGAGAAGTTGTTGGACGATGAGTTCTACATAGGGCTTAGGCAAAGACGGGCAACTGGACAGGTATACATAGATTCTGCCTACTGCCTTGCATTTTTAGTTTGTACGCATTTGGTTTCCATGCTAAAGATGAGATATATTTTTGTAATGTTTTCCTTATTTGGCCCTCTAGGAATATGATGAATTACTACATGAATTCATGACGGCAGTGAAGCAGAACTATGGCGAGAGAGTCCTTGTTCAGGTATTGGAAACTGGCAAAAAGATATTGTCAATCTAATTACTGCATTCTATATTGTTTCTTGACAGTCCAAACATACCTTTCTACACTATTTGCAGTTCGAAGACTTTGCCAATCACAATGCATTTGATCTGCTTGCAAAATATGGTACAACACATCTTGTATTCAATGATGACATTCAGGTATTTGTTCTTTTCCCTTATGGTGCTCTAGAAACTTAAGATAGGACGTTCTAATGCTTTTTGTTGTTGATAATTCAGGGCACAGCAGCTGTGGTCCTTTCTGGGCTCATGGCAGCACTGAAATTGCTCGGTGGAACATTAGCGGATCACAGATTCCTATTTCTTGGGGCTGGAGAGGTGAGTTGAAGTCAAATTGTTGACATTTTCATACATGGTGTTGGGCGAAGATGGCATTTATCGATCTGGTGATTAGCAAGGTAATGGTAACAATGATAGTCTTTTGTTTGAATCATCATGGCAGGCTGGCACTGGAATCGCAGAACTGATTGCCCTTGAGATATCCAAACAGGTTCAGTACCCTGATTATAGTTATTGCTGCGAATAATAGATGTAAAAGAGAGTTTTAACAACAGAATGCATGTTTTTCTTCTTGCAGACACAAATGCCACTAGACGAGGCTCGTAAGAACATTTGGCTTGTGGATTCAAAGGTTGAAGGAAAAACATGTACCTGTTTCTCATTTTAGGAGTTATTTCATTTCGATTATATGAGTGCTTTTCTTGGTGAATGTCATGCAGGGTTTGATTGTAGAATCCCGCAAGGAGTCCTTGCAGCACTTCAAGAAACCCTGGGCTCATGACCACGAGCCTGTTGAAACCCTTCTTGAAGCTGTCAATGTGAGAATATCTCTCCATCTATTTTGTCCCACTTAAATTATCTGCAAGATGCCAAGATTGCTTTGTGCCTTAAAACTTTCTTTTTGTTATTCGACAGGATATAAAGCCAACGGTATTGATTGGAACGTCAGGAGTAGGAAGAACATTCACTCAAGAAGTGGTTGAGGCCATGGCCTCTTTTAATGAGGTAAATTTCTTTCAAGGTTATTTGGTTGGGTGCAGTTGGGAGAGTTGTTTTTGCAACAGAATGTAACTGGACGAATATATGGGTTTCTATTGACACTTTAGACGTACTTGAGTGCATTAGAAATTGCATATGCAACCTCATATGTATAAAAATGATTCTTACTAACTCAGTTGTTGTATTATGCATGCAGAAACCTCTGATTCTTGCACTCTCCAATCCCACCTCACAGTCCGAGTGCACAGCTGAACAAGCATATACATGGACTAATGTAATTTAGAATCAGAAACATCTGCTCGGTGGGGGCTTTTGGTTGAACGTGCTTTTAACAAATCTCTCTTTTCATTACTGTAGGGTCGCGCGATATATGCCAGTGGCAGTCCATTTCCCCCTGTTGAATATGAGGGCCAAACATATGTCCCAGGGCAGGTAAGGAAGTTAAAACGTACTCTTGACGCTGTGAATTCTTTTCCTTTCTGCTTTGTACTTCACTGACTTGACTCGATTCACGTCTTCTCGGGTTCTTGACAGTCGAACAATGCGTACATTTTCCCTGGTTTGGGTCTAGGCTTGATCATGTCTGGTACAATCCGTGTTCATGATGATATGCTTCTTGCAGCATGTAAGTGGACGAGGAAACTTTTGTTTCTTAATCCGTTCAGAGTGCTTGGTTCTCAATTAGTTTGCATTTCTCTGGTGCAGCGGAAGCTTTGGCTGCTCAGGTTACTCAAGAAAACCTGGATAATGGACAGATATACCCACCCTTCACTAACATTAGGAAGATCTCGGCTCACATTGCTGCCAATGTGGCTGCCAAGGCATATGAACTGGGTAAGTACAAATTTCGATTCCCCGTGTTATTCGAGAAAGGGAATAAGAGACCCTCTGTTGCGTTGTAGTTGATTTGTTTCTCGTGTTAATGATTAAGGCTTGGCAACGCGCCTTCCACGACCGAAGGATCTGGTGGCGTATGCTGAGAGCTGTATGTACAGCCCATCTTACAGAAACTACCGGTGAAAAGGATGAGCTCTCAACAGAAGAAGCAGGGGAGAGGGCACCTGTGTAGCCAGTTGGATCTCTGGTTTTGTTATTTCTCTCATTCAAGTTGGTTAACTTAGTGCTAAAAAAAAGGGGTTTTTTACTTTTGATCATAAAAGGGGAATTGTCAGCTGGTGGGTTTGTTAAATTTTTATTTTTTGGGCAAGTTTGATTGTTGCTTTGGTCATAAAGACTTACAGATTTGGATGGGTAGGAAGGAAGGAAAAGAGAAGACCTTTAAGATAGGTGGTGGTAGCTGGATCAATGCAAGTCTTCAGCACGTTGTGTTCTTGTGAGACTTCATAGGAACACCAAAAAAAAAAAAAAAGGTGGTGGGGCTATCTTACTAATACGTCAAGCATGAAATTAATTTTTTTAAACGATCTTCAGTCTCTTATTTAACACCTTCGGAATCATCATACGGACAATACGTAGTCCAATTCTAAGGAAAGTTAATTGTTGTTCCACTTCCACAACCACAAGTGCGTTGTGAAATATAGCTCAACCTATGGGTGGAAATTGGGGTGGGTCCTGCCCCACATTTTGTGGGTAACAACACACATAAATATATAATTATGCTACTCACAATTCGTCCCGCAGTGGGTAGTGGAACATTTGTGGGTGTTGTTACCCACAGTTAACTACTTAACCACTACCCACTGCGTGACAAATTGTAAGTAACATAATTATATATTAACCACTACCCACTGCGGGACGAATTGTAAGTAGCATAATTATATATTTGTCATTATTCGTTGCCGGTTGGTTGTGGATACCCACAAAAATCACATTAAATATAATAATATGTCAATTAAATAATGATGTTGTGTTTCTTCTCACACAAAAACAAAAACATACATAAAAGAAAGTTAAAAGAGTGTTAAATAAATTATAAATCTCGAATGCAATAGGTTAGTTAGTATAAATTCAGAAGAGATGGATTTGGAAAGAGATTTGAAGATAACGGAGAGGTGGAGTGACTTGTTACCAGACAAACATCGTTGCATCTCACGGGCTCACTGCTCCTCCAATGCTAACAACAGCAAAACACAAAAGTGGCTCGATAGGTGGACGCGCCTGCTTTTAATGATCGATTATTCTCCACTATCGATTATAGTATTGCATTGTGGAGAAATGAAGATGAGTTTGGGTATCAGACTAACCTTTATTGATTATTCCCCTCTTTTAATGAATCGATTAATTTATCTGACTATATCTATGGACTTGGTTTGTTATAAAATAACCATATACCACATGGACAATGCTTATTTGATAAATGTATCTCACATGAACATTGCGTATGACTTAGTTTTGTTTTATAGAATAAGTGCATATTTGATTTTGGTAACTACTTTAATTCTTTGTTTCCCAAGTTTCACAAACTAATATAACTAATGTGGTTAATGTGGGGTTACAAAGTATTTTGAAGAAATAAATATAACTAATGTGGTTAATATGAGTTTTGTGGGTGAACCGCCGTGGGTACTGGGTAGAGGTTAACCATTAACCACAAAAATAATATTTTGCTACCCACACCCAACCCACCCACTATCCACAAATTGAGAGTATTGGTATCCACAAAGTGTGCAGTGTGGTGGGGTTTGCGGGTTACCCGCCGCAAACCAAACTTCTACCCCTAGCTAAAGCTATATGTTATACAAGTTTTTAATAGCTTAATTTGGTTTTTGCTTGATTGAGATTTAATAAATTGCAGTTTTTGGTTTTTAACTTTGGTCACTTTACTTTACTAGATTATGGTCCAACCTCTTGGTGTCGGGAGAGTTTGATTCCCATGTTGTCATGTATAAGTGTAGGTATATATTTTAGTTATGGTTCATGTTATTGGGGTTTGAAGTAACTATTTAGCTTGGTAAGTTCTCCATTAATAATATAGGAAAGTATTTGATGTATTTGACTAACGAAGTTTTAAAGATGACGAACAACGTCCAACTACACTAACATAAATAAATATTTTCAAACGAAGTCGTATTGATATAAAAACGTCTAAGAAGAACAATGGTAAGAGTTGTTTTACATCATACATGCATAATCAATCTTCAGTATACGATAAATGTTTCGAATTTTCCGTTGACTTTAGTGCATTCAATGATATAATGGAACAAAGTATATGTTTAGAGTATCCTTAATAAGAAACAAACTAAATTACACACTCATGTTTCGAGTGGCATTTCATATAGAAGTCACTGTGACATTAATGTAGTCGAAGCATGCAGATCTCCAACTGGCAAGTTCAAATAATAGAGCAACACATAAAAAGCTAAATCAAACTGAAAAGAATGCGAAAGCTAAAAGCAACATACCGAATATTTTGGGAAAAATCGACAACAATAAAAGTCATTGTAGCTCGTACTCAAGTTAGAAAGACTTTGATTTAACAGTAGGTAAACAATGATATGTAGTGCTTAAGCCTTAAGAGGGAAGATGACACCTTACATTCTTTATCAATATGCATCTTAGTTTCATGTTTCTAAAAAAAATGCATCTTAGTTTCATAAATTTTAGAACAAAAAAGTAGTAATTCAATAATCAATATAAGAATCAATATGGACACAATATCTAATCAGGAGAAGGGGAAGCGGGAAAAAAACACAAATTATTGTGTATAGATTCTGCTCACAATATTTCATAGTGAAAATATCATAAAAGTTATTAACCGATAAAAGGGAACGATAAAGGGAAAAATGCATAAATTTGAACCTAAAATGAGAGGAACTAATATCCTACACCATCATACAATAATGATATGTTATATCCCAAAAATCATTACAAATCTGTCTAAACGAAAAAGTATACTAAATTGAATCCAATGTAAAAGCAACGATGAAGATATATAGTATATCTACCTAAGGAATAATAAAGTAAAGTCATGTTTCTTAGAGACCTCTCTCAATAGAACCACTCCATGATAAAAACCATTTCGTCAAACAATTGTATCATATGAGTTTTAACTTAAAAATTTAAGTGCTTATAATTAGCTATTTCAGCTCATAAATGAATTAATTATACCATTTGGTATAAAAATTTGTAAACTTGAGAGTTATTTTGCTTGTTGTTAAATCATTTGAGCTGAAGTATGAAAGTGCTTCAGAACTGTTACTTCATTCATCATTATTAAAAATTATTATTTTTATTACAACGTCTAAGCGTGTTTAGGCGAGCTAGGAGATAGACAAATGCCCAATGACCACCTTATGATTAACGTGTTGTTGAACCTCAATAATTATAGCAAACTTTGAGAGCATCTTATAAATTTGATCGCTTCTATTTGGTATAATTGATTACATCCTGAAACTGATCAATCAAGGAGTCTTTCGATACGATTTTGATAAGATGTCCCCTACTACACAATTAGTATGACTAAATTGTAATAAGATAATATGTATTAAATTTTAATTGATAGCGCAAAAGATCGTACTAACTCAAGTAGAGTTTTAGCTACTCAGTACTTCATATTCACATGTAGATAGCTACTTCAAAGAGTTTGAATATTGATTGAATTTGTTGAACTTTACCTAACAAAACTATGATATCAATCGCAAGATATGATGCTTTTTCGAGAAGTTGTGAGAATATGTTGGAGACATCAAACCTAACATGGATACCGTTGAATTTAAATAATAAGCAACATTTATAGTCAATAAATTATACATGGAAAAAATATTCATCATTCCCATACGTTGGTAGGAAACAGTGAAAAATTAGGAATTAAGCTAGAAACATAGTTGATTTAACAAATAACTGCAAAAAATATTGAAAAAAAGAAAAAAAAATGCTTAGAGTGTAGGCATGAGAGTGTTACATTAAACCCTCAAACAGAAAGCAACAATTTCACTGTGAGAGTAGAGGGGCGAAGGCACGTTGGAGGAGGATGGGTGACTTTCTGGGTTTGGGTTTTTCGTATATCTTAACTGTGGGATAGAGAGGCTGAACGGGAACAAAGAGATAGAGTGACGATGGGGGAATTTGGATTGGGGTTGAAGACGTATAGACTTTTTTTTTTAATAAACAATGGTGGGTTTAGTTTTGGTTTTTATAATAATTTTATATTTTATTTATTTTAATTTTTGTTATAATAAGGTTGAAATTTTAAACAAATTGATTTTTATAAATTTCTTATTTGTCACGACACTTTGTTTAGGTCAACTGTAAGGTTGACTGTCACGTTGGAAAAGATAATGGAGACTAACGGAGAATGACCAAACGTGAACTGTTGAACTAATTTAATGACCATGAATAAAATAAAGTAATTTTAATGACTAATGTAGAATTTTTATTAGTAATTTTACCAAACTTGCAATTTAACCTTTTCAAATTAAAGTATAAAGATAAGGCATATTGGCATAAGGATAAATATATATAAAATAATAAACCAAGGACAGACCAGAAAAGGAAACCAAATATCTATTTAAGAAAAAATCATAAAATAATTAACGGATATAAAGAAACGTTATCCTGCCCCCTACAGGGACAAAATAGTCATTCCGTACTTCCCAATCAGCGAATGATCCTCCGGCTTCCTAGTCTCATCCAATCATCTTCCATGCTCGCACGCAACCTAAATTACTCCATTACCCTTCCCTTATCTCTGAACAGCCCAAATAAATCTTTTCCCCCTTTCCTTTCTCCCGTTCCATACAAAGCTACTCTCGCTCTAGAACCCGTTTCTCTCTCTACGCCCCAATAATCTCCGCCGGCGACTTACACCCTCCGGAACGCCAATTTGCTCTGCGTGTTATTCCCTCCGGCGAGCCGTCTGATTTTGCGTGGTTAATTTTTTGTTCTCGGGCCGAGTCGTGAATGAGATGACTCGGCGGTGCTCGCATTGCAGCAACAACGGGCACAACTCCAGGACCTGTCCCACGCGCTCGTCGGCTACCGGAGGCGGCGCTGGCGGCCCGTCGTCGTCCTCTCTTTCGTCTCCCGGCGTGAGGCTGTTCGGCGTTAGACTAACCGATGGCTCGATTATTAAGAAGAGCGCTAGTATGGGGAACTTATCCGCGCACTACCACTCCTCGTCGTCCGCCGCCGCTTCCCCTAATCAGGACTCTCCCGTCTCTGATCATCTCCGCGACTCGGGTCGCGTAGCCGACGGATATCTGTCCGATGACCCGGCCCATGGGAGCTCTTCAAATCGACGCGGAGAGAGAAAGAAAGGTACAAAACAAAAAGAGACAAATTCAATATCCTCTGTTCTGTTCTGTTTTACCGCGAACAAAAAGTATAACCCCGCCATATGATAAGGAAAAACAAATATTTTAATTCTGTTGGTTTGTTTCGCGGAACGGATTTTTCAGCCTATACTGGTGTCAGTTGGTGGAGATTATTCATCAATTTAGTGGATGGATTGTGTTTTTGGGGTTATATAATTGTCATCGTCAATGGTTACTTAGTGCTGTTTCATCCTTTTGTCACTGCATCAATTTGCAAATTGTATCAGGAGAATTGTCTGGAAGGGTAGAATGATATGCAGATTACTCAGTTGGTCTTAATGGATTTATATCCCTTGGATTTTGCTTGTGATATCTTTTTGTTTCTACTTGTTTCTCACTTGGCTTTGGATTGATGTATCTATACTGTGGGCTGTCGAAAGAAGGATATTGTTTGCGGTCCCACGGAGCTAAAGACAGTAAATCATTGTGCCATTATTGCATTTGGTATCTTCGATGAGAAGAAGAAAACAATGTGGAGTTTTCATAGTTGTCCATTGGATAATGGGAACTATGTCAAGTTGCTCTTTTTCAGCCTTGTGTATTGTAATGGCATAGAGCTACCCCCCGTACCTTTGTGCATGCACTTGTAACAATCTTCATTGTTTTGGTTTGGATGTAGTGATAACTTTTTGTAGCTGACTTTCTTTACGAGGTTTTGTCCATTAGCTGATTGAAAATTTGGAAGTGTTGTGAGCCGTTGTTTCATTAGTACTTTCTGGCTACTGGTTTTCTGCGAAGTTTTGAGTTGTGAAGGAATGTATGGTTTTCTCAGTTACTTCCACATGCTTTATGGTATGAGATAGTTATAATAGGTTTGGAGAATGATATTAGTTAAGTGATTGGTGGTGCAAGCCATTGAATGCTTGCAAACTGGAGGGGGTATGGTAGTTTTATAACAAGTCATTGTGTTAGATAGGATGACCAATATATAATACTCGACATGCTCTGGTTAATCCTCTGTAGGGAATAGAAGAATGCTGAAAGCTTCCTTTTCCTTATTGATTTGATCCTTGCCGTATTGGTTGTGATGGCAGTGGTGAGCTCGATAGAGGGTAATAGGTAGGATAATTTGAAATTATTGTCACTAGATTATTCAGGGTACATAGCTTGGTTTTGGTACTGGTGATGTGATGCAATGACTCGACTGCATTTTCTTAGTGTAGGTTTTGTTGATTTTCTTAACATCAGGACCTCGTAAGAATCATTCAGAGGATAACATGTCCAATATTTATGACCATCTGCCACTGGCATTCATTATACACATCGGTGTTCTTGTTTATGTGTTACTTTTGACTTTAGTGCTGCCTTTGTTTCTTAGTAGCCCACTTTATAATTGTACTGTAGGAATGGTGTTTGCGGTTTTGAAGCCGCCAATCTGAATTTATGAAGTTTTTGTTACCAATGAAGAACATATATTGTAGTTATTCTTCCTAGTGAAGGCTTCATGATTCCTTCTTCATCTTTAATTATCAAGTTTCTGTTTTCATGAAGAACATTGTCAGTAGTTATTATTTAGATGGGCTTGTTAATCTCTGAAGTAAAGTTTTCGGTTGTCTGCTCCATGTAGCTAACCTTATACTTCTGATCTGGATTTAGGTGTCCCCTGGACAGAGGAGGAGCATCGGTTATTCTTAGTTGGTCTTCAAAAACTAGGGAAAGGAGATTGGCGTGGAATAGCTCGGAACTATGTAGTGTCTAGAACCCCTACGCAGGTGGCTAGTCATGCTCAGAAGTATTTCATTCGTCAGACCAATGCTACTCGAAGAAAGAGAAGATCAAGCCTTTTCGACATGGTCCCAGACTTGGTATGATCCATTCCATGAATTCCTTCTATATGCATGTCTCCAGAATTTTCTCATTCTGATGTTCTTACCTCATAAATCAGGTATCTGATCCACAATCAGTCCCAGAAGATGAAGAGTTGCTGCCCTCTTTGCAGGAAAGGGAAAGCGAGAATAATAATAATAATCCAGACTCGCTTCCATCGTTGAATCTCTCTCTGAATTCGGAGTATGAACCGATGGAAACCACGTCTGAAGAACCTCATCGTAAGGACGAGGAATCCAACGAGACCACTGTTAATGTTCCTGGACCAACCCAATCAAGTGAGCTCCCGCCTGTAGTTCCCTCGTCAAGTGAATTCACACCATTTGGATTCATTCCGGCATTCGTTCCAGTCCCTTACCCATTCTGGCCTGCTAATGCGATCACTGTGGAGGGAGGGGGAGCCGTGGTTGGGGAAACATCCAATCATCACCAGGTGCTGAGGCCAGTTGCGGTTGTTCCCAAGGAGCCGGTCAATGTGGATGAACTCGTTGGGATATCTCAATTGAGCCTCGGAGATACCAAGGAGGCGAATCCTTTGCCGCCGCTGTCACTGAAATTGACCGCTGAGGCGTCGAGGCAGTCGGCGTTTCATGCCAATACTGCCGCTCCGGTGAGCGGTCCAGATATTGGCAAGGGAAAGGGAAGCCCCATTCAAGCAGTCTAGTCTAGTGAGGCTTCTTTCAGGCTGAAGGTTTCCTCTTTTTAATTTTCTTTGTTTCCCTGTACAATTATGTTATACTATTTATCTATCTGGTGTTATTATGATAGGTGTTGAAAAGGGAAAGGAAGTTTTGTTGTAGAGGAGCAGATTTGGTGGTATGAATGTGGGTTTAGAGATGTAGGTGTGATGGTTTGATAATGCTTATTCTTTTTTTCTAACTGTAATTTAGAGACAAATGGATAATTGTAGTGGGGAAGTGCAGCAAGTTGCCCATTTCATTTTTGATCTCTTGTTGGCCCCCAAACATTGTTTGATGATACAAAGCTACCAGCTACTGCTAGAACAGATCCAAATTGATAGAAATTAACGGATAACAACAGCACAGGATACCCTTGGATTCTAAACATGCTTAACTGATAAAAACATGTTAATAGAAGCAAAGAAACATTTCAGAAGCGCTTGATGAAGTCATAGATGTGTTGGGTGATCTCGTGAGGTTTGACCAAGTTGGGGAAATGAGGCACTCCTTCCATCACCACCACTTCTTCAAGCAGCGGCACTTCCTTCTTGAACTCCTCGCTGTGAATGTAGTCCTTCATCCCCACCATGCCGTAAACTACGTCCTGATCTCCGACAATGAACTTGGCCGGCACTGTGTACTTGCAATCTCCTCCTGCCCACGGCCCCATCAGCTCCCCTGTCCTGCGAAGTTACAGAAAAATAGGAGTCAGATTATGCAATAGATGGAAGAAGATATTGCAATGGATGTGAAGTGATGAATGATGATTGTGTACAAGGGGAAGGCTCGATAGTAGTTGAGGCCGCCGGTGAAGCCGGATTTCTGGAACTTGGAAGCGTAGTACTCGACGTCTTCCTCGGACAGCCAGGACGGCAAGCTGGGCGGGTCGGGTAGTCCCCGGAAACCGGTTTCTCTCGGCACCATTGGCGGGTCGGGCTTGCTGAATAACGTGAAAAGCTTCACCATCAGCTTACCTGTCTCCACCTCAGCAAACTCCGATTCTACTTTCCCCACTTCCTGCACGAGATTTCGTAGATAATTGAATTGAATCGAAATAAAAACACATCTGCTTTCATTTGCTAATCAAGAATGAATCAAACAATAAGTTCGATAGTCTGATTCAAAACTGTACCTGAAACCTGCAGAAGTAGTATTCATCGCCGTAGACAGCTCGAAAGGCGTCGACGAGGTTAAGCGCAGGGGACTGGCGAGTTGGCGGGACGCTGAGGTTGACCACCGCCGTGACCCGATCGGGTCGGAACCTGCAAAAGTACCAGGCCATGGCGGCTCCCCAATCGTGCCCGACCAAGAAAACCTTGTCGATCTTGAGGGCGTCGAGGAGGCCGACGAGGTCGCCGACGATGTGGAAGGCGGTGTACTTGGCCGGAGATGAGGGTGCGTCGGTGTCGCCAAACCCGCGGAGGTCCGGGGCGATGCAGCGGTAGCCGAGGGCGGAGAGGGAGAGGAGCTGGTGGCGCCACGTGTACCAGAGCTCCGGGAAGCCATGGAGGAAGAGGATCGTCGCCGGCCCGGCTCCGATCGAGGCCACGTGCATGTTGATTCCGTTGGTGGAGATTGTGGAGTGGGTGATTGACTGGTCGCCGCCTTCCGCCGCCATCTGGACGCTTCCGATGGGAGTAGTGTACCGGCTGAGAATGCTCTTCCTGCGGACTTTGTAGATGGCCGGCTCGGTTTTCCAAATGAGGAGAGCTCTAATTACTAATTACTAATTACTAATTACTAATTAGTGGTTGTTCGGATTTATAAGGATGTGATAATGATTAAATCATGGGTTCACATCACATATGACTTCTGACTTGTCCATTAGTCTGTAATGCTTAGGGGTCTGCGCCCCGATCTCATCAGTATTGTCTATTGTGAAATTCCTATAGCTAAGTGACTAAGTAGATTTGGACGGTTGTGTCGTTATATTAAATGCAAAAATTTAACTTATCTTTCAAAAATATTTCGGATAAGTTACAAGGGTTGATCGTTGAAATTACTAAAAAGGTCTTTGTGCAACCAAGTAGGGAAGGGGAGTTGAGGGACATACTCTTTCACCACTGGTTGTGGCTTAGGAGCAGGTACCTCTCTCTCCTTCTCCAATTCTTTCTCCTCTGCTGGAAGTGCTGAAGTAGGTCTCTCTTCCCCCCTGTCTAGCATGGATAGGGATCTCCATAGTCACCTCCCCGCTCCAGGTAGTAACTACATTGCAGTGGGCATTTGGGTCTCAGGGATTAGGTATGGTATGACCAGGTAAGGTACTCGGAGCCCTTTGTGCCACGATTTTAGCCACACTCCCAAGTTGGGTCTGTATATCCTGCAGAATAGCCTGTGTGTTCCTCTGACCAGCTTCAAACTCCATGAACATTCCCGAGGCCTTCTCCATGAACTGCTCGATATTACTAAATTTCTGGGAGCTGGAACTGGCAAGAGAACCCACTAAGTCTCGCAGCTTAGCCATTGGATCACGCTATACTGGGGCAGCTGGGGCTGCGCCCAGCTGGTGAGGAAGAGCTTGCCCCTATTAACCTATGCAGAGACTATCGTTCTAGGTCAAAGTAGGAAACACAGAAGTTTGATCAGGACTCATGCAATTCTGTTTAGTTCCACAATTGAATATATCGAATCAATCATTCAAAAAACTGGGTTCATACAGCAATTCTTAACATACAAAACTAGAGTTCTTCATACCCAAATGAAAAGGGAGTTTCCTCCATTGAGAGAAGAGAAATCGCAAAGTTTGGAAGAGAAATCATCATGTGAGGGATGAGAATCTGCTCCAGGCTAGAAATCAGTACTCCGAGGGTGAAAGATCGTGATCCAATGTCCTTAGATCACTCCAATCCATAACCAAGGTTGTTCTTCATCACTTTCTCTCTCTAGAGTTCTCTCTCCCCGGCAACGGCGCAAAAAACTTGGCTCGCTAAAACACAACACTAAACTATGATCAAGTGTAATCGCAGTCCTGAAATGGAGTATAGTGGGTTCAGTTTTCCTTGTCAACCCAGGTCCTAGATTTAATGTCTACTCGTGAATATCTATTATTTAGCTGTTTAGTTCGAGTGAAGAGTTCAAAAGTAAATTAAACAGAAAGTAGGAAATGTTCTGGTTTCAAGTATGCAAAAGGTCATCCACATATGAGTCCCCCTAGTCTGTAGTCAATTCAGATTATAATTCCCCAATTCGTTCAAATTGATAGATATACCGCGGAAAGTTCTTGACAAGTCTGGAAACTCGACTAAAGAATTCCAGGCCCTCTCAGTTCGAATACCCGACAGGCGACTAACTTCTAGCGGCGTAAACTAACCAAGGCAATAACACACAAAACTTCCATTACTGGTTTCAATTCCAATACAGAGTAGTGAATCAATTTCTCGACTAAAGTAATCGATCCACTACTTCCAATCAAGGTTGCTCTATTAACCTATGCAGAGAATATCGTTCTAGGTCAAAGCAGGATTACAAAAGTTTGATAAAAACTAATGCAGTTTTGATTATGCCTCAATGGAATATATCGAATAAATCGTTCTTAAAACTGGGTTCATACATCCATTCCTATCTTACAAGACTGGACTCTTCATACCTATATGAAAAGAGAGTTTACTCCATGGAGAGAAGAGAAATCACAAAGCTTGGGAGAGAAATCATCATGTGAGGGATGAGAGTATGCTCCAGGCTAGAAAGCAACACTCTGAGGGTGAAAGACCGAGCTTCCATGTCCTTAGATCGCTCCAACAGTTTCCCAAGGTTGTTTTTCGACATTTTCTCTCTCTAGGGTTCTCTCTCTATTTTAGAACTTGACCGGCTAATGAACCAAATTCCCTAGTTGCAGCTTAGAAGCCTCGATGCCGAAATCCACGATCAGAATCCACTATCATGGAAATGACATCCAAACCGTGGATTTCCAAAACGACGCGTGGAACGTAGTAGTTCTCGAGCCAAATTCCACGGTCAGGCACTTGAAATCCCCTATCGTGGAATGGAGACTCCAGCTGCCAATTTATTAATATGGACACCTGATGGATCTGATTAATTGATGTGCCATGTACGGAATCTTGCAATATATATTTGGCCTTTATTTTCATACATAGCTTAAACATAACTAATTTACACTATTGGATCCCCATGGTTTTGCATGTGCTTAGTTTTGTGACATTTTATTCACATCTATACAATAATAGATACGGATTCATGGGTTAGAAACTCGCCATTTTGAATTTCCAGGCTCCACCTTCATTTACGGAAGGGCCTCATTATAACTTCACAACTCCCTTTTAAATGGCTCACACCGTTTTGGCAAAGGCATAGAGATTTCCATGCCGACTGCGGGCTTTGTTTCAAATCCAGGTTTGAAATTGGGCCTTATCTGTTTTTTTTACTGGCCTTCTAACAACAGTGGCGTTGTTAGCCCCCCTTAGAGCAGAACCAGGCATTCCCGGCAACACCGTAGTTATCTCTCTGCCAACGTAATTGCTACCCAAGTTTTCCTCGCCGGCTGCAGCCAAGAATTGCAGTGGGTTTACATTGGCTCACGCGGCCTTCCACGGACTCAATATCTTCCCCAGAAAACCGCTACTGATTATTGTCAACACCGGCTCAGCTCTGCTTCAGAACGACCTGCAACTCAGCTCGCCTGTAATAGCTAACAAAACAAGGTACATTATGTCAGCTCACCATTCTTACACTCAGTTAGCCCTTGTCAACCTATATCTGATTCTTCTGCCCAATTGGATTTGTTCAAATGGGTCGGAGAATAGCAACAATGGCTGGATTCTTCTCATAACTAGGCCCTGTCGTGATTCTTCGACCTATATCTGATTCTTCAAATTCAGCCTTTACCGTGATATGCGAATGGGTCTACTTTGACATGTCAGCAGAAGATGTGTAGCGGAAATAATTTACATGTTACCATGATTCATCTATTCGGCTCATTGGAAGGATTTACTTAGTACATCTGATGTAGCAACTGTATGGTTGGTTGTTTGCGCCAACCAGCTCCCAACTTTGTTATTCTATCATTTTGGTATCCCTGACATTGTTTTGAGCACCTAAGTATCTCCCATTTTTTTCTTAGCTTAGAGTGTCGTTTTCTACTGCTACTGGTAGAATCGTTGCAGTTGAGTCTTGGCTGAAATCTCAGCTGCTGCTATCATTTGTATTTTGTTCCTTTAGTTCAATAAAATCAGGTGCCCCATTATAAAGACAAAACTCAGGCGGGCTAGTCATGTTGTATGATCTAAATTTGGGTTTCTGGTTTTCAATCCTGATTTTTCCTGTCATTCTACTTATAACAAGTTGTATTCCTCAACATTTCTAAATCACTCCAGCACAATCCCTGATCATATAAATTCATGAGTCATTTCATTGTATGCTGTTCATTTACACCCATGCTCAGGCATTACTTATGTTCTCAAACCTAAACCTACGTTGTTTTACAGAGGTGACGTTGTCAAAGTTGTTATCTGGAGAAGAGTTGTAGTTGAATTTGATAAGTTGATCAAACCTGGTGGTGATGAACAAGTCATACTGGTTGTAACTGCTGTTTCTGTCAAAACCTACCAAAGTACAAAATTTGTTTACACTGTGCTGCATTTGAGATATATGAGTGACTAATCAGTAGGAACTACATCAATTTACGTTTCCAGGTGAACTTTTCTTTAATTCTTCCGGTTCAACAGTGTTGTATCCCAACCTTGATATCTCAGAAGTAAAGGCTTTCACAACCATGTATTCTCTTTTAATTGCTACTGAATATCCGAACCATACTGTTGAACCAGTGCCAAATTAAAATATTTTTTTTTCAAAAAGGAATGTGCAACCACAGCAGCCCGTGTCTTTTGAATTACCCCCACCCGCCTCCATTCCTGATGTTACTCTATCAGAATTGCTGGAACTTCAATTGGATCCTGATAATGAGGTTAGATTATGGTGTTTTCTCTAATTTTACATTGTGGTATTTTCTCTAATCTATACTCAATATTAATTCAATTCGACTACAACTAGGAATGTGTGTAGGTTGTCGAATGCAAAGTCGTAGGAATCAAGCCATTTTGGTGTTACATGGGTTGTCCAACCTGTGTCCTTAAACCCATAGAAAGACATGGAGAATACTACTGTGTCAAATGCAACAAGCCAACACCAACTAGAGCTGCCAAGTAAATACCACATCATTGAGTTTCAAAATAAATTCCATCAGCCCCTTGAATTATAAACTACATTGAATATGCTTCCTTTCCATTTCATGCCTTTTCAAATATCGTATACAGCTTGATGTTGAAAGCAATTCTAGGCCAGCTACCTTTATAATCTTTGAGTATGAAGCAAAAACGCTTCTTTGGTGTCAGTGGTAATGAACTTTTCAATAGGACTGGTCAAAACAATGAGGTGCCCCCCTGCAGATCTACTAAAAATAGTTGGTGCCACCAAGCTATTTCATGTCAAGTTCAAGATAAATCTCTACAGTGATTCACAAGCTAATTTCACCGTCTTAAAAATCTTGGAACCCACAGCACATGTGAGCTACTCATTAGACCTTCCAGACTTATAACTATAATATGATTTTTTGTGTACAATGACTAGGACACATTTTTGCATGACCTGAATCGTACTTGGTTAATAATAGCTTTCGTTCAATACTTTTTAATTCCTATTACTAATTGTTTCTACTTTCCACCGCTTCGAATCTCAGTCTCCGGCTTCCGTTCTTCACAAAGATGCCTCGTGCTCATCAATTACCAGTGGAGTTGAGTCCTCCCAAACTTCATCTCAACATTCCATCCCAATTCCAGCACATGGAGAGGCAGCCAAAGGCGTTTATGTTGATATGACACCTGATAATAAACTGAAACGAAAGATGCACCCAGAGTGATATCTGAGGGTTGGAACTTTACATCACCAAGACCCTATTAGTAGTTCCACTTTGATTCTGCAGAAGAGTAGTTCAAATTCCTTTTGTTTCTAGACTGCTGGGTGTTTGTCCAAACTGTTTACGGGTTTTCCTTTTTCTTCGTTTGTTGTGTTGCACAATGACAATGGGACTCTGTGCCCTATAAGGATTTATGGATTTCAATATAAGTACCTATTTTGTTGGATGCAACTCACATGTAATTCTTACTGCAATAGTAGCTTAAATAGTATTTAGCATCTTTTATTTCACGACTTAAGATTTTTAATACCCATGTAAGTATTTGACATTTGTGAATTGAAGTGTCATCATCTTTATGATTCTACTCAAGGTTACGCGGCCAATGGGCCGGGCCCGGCGCTAGTTTGCATTTATATATACATGCATGTACGTGACATCCGATCAGAAGTATATGAAACTTTTCGAACAAGATATCAGAATGTACTAAATTAGACAACGATAATTTTCTAAGTACACACTATTTGAATAAAAATACCGAAGTGTACTTAAAAAGAAAACAATAATTCCCCATGTACAAACTAGTAAAATATAGATATGCGGCTTCAGTTATTGAAGCTTATTCATTAATCAGCTAAACTACTAGCTACAGATTGAAACACACTAATAAGACAACACAATGATCTGCTTTCCATGGAATTGGCACGACTGGACACCTCGGATCTGCGATAAACAGAGGAAGCACGCTCTGAAACTGTAAGAGACGTTGGATAAAATTAAGTAGTGGAACGGGATAAAGCAGCTCAGAAGCGCTTGATGAAGTCAAGGATGTGCTGAGTGATCTCCTGTGGTTTGACCAAGTTGGGGAAATGAGGCACTCCTTCCATCACCACCACCTCTTCCAGCAACGGCACTTCCTTCTTGAACTCCTCGCTGTGAATATAATCCTTAATCCCCACCATGCCGTAAACTACGTCCTGATCTCCAACAATGAACTTGGCCGGCACTGTGTACTTGCTATCTCCTCCTGCCCACGGCCCCATCAGCTCCCCTGTCCTGCGTCGTTACAGAAAACAAAATGAAGTCAGTCAGTCAAGACAGATTATGCAAGAGATAGATAGAAATTTTCTTTTGCAATGGAAGTGAAGTGATGATTGTGTTGTGTACAAGGGGAGCGCTCGATAGTAATTGAGGCCGCCGGTGAAGCCGGATTTCTGGAACTTAGAAACGTAGTACTGCACGTCTTCCTCCGACAGCCAAGATGGCAAGCTGGGCGGGTCGGGCAGTCCCTGGAAACCGGTTTCTCTGGGCACCATTGGCGGGTCGGGCTTGCTGAATAATGTGAAAAGCTTCATCATCATTTTGCCCGTCTCCACCTCAGCAAACTCCTCTTCTACTTTCCCCACTTCCTGCAACACATTCAAAACAGAGCCCGGGGTTTCGATTCAATACAATCGAAATGACCAATGGATCTCAATTCTCCCTCATAAATCTCAATTTTCCGCCAATTATATTTGGGCAAAAGTACGCACCTGAAACCTGCAGAAGTAGTATTCATCGCCGTAGGCAGCTCGAAAGGCGTCGACGAAGTTGAATGCAGGGGACTGGCGGAGCGGCGGGACGCTGAGGTTGACCACGGCGGTGACCCGATCGGGGCGGAGCCTGCAAAAGTACCAGGCCATGGCGGCTCCCCAATCGTGCCCGACCAAGAAAACCTTGTCGATCTTGAGGGCGTCGAGGAGTCCGACCAGGTCGCCGACGATGTGGAAGGCGGTGTACTTGGCCGGAGATGAGGGTGCGTCGGTGTCGCCGAACCCGCGGAGGTCCGGGGCGATGCAGCGGTAGCCGAGGGCAGAGAGGGAGATGAGCTGGTGGCGCCACGTGTACCAGAGCTCCGGGAATCCGTGGAGGAAGAGGATCGTCGCCGGCCCAGCTCCGATCGAGGCCACGTGCATGTTGATTCCGTTGGTGGAGATTGTGGAGTGGGTGATTGACTGGTCGCCGCCTTCCGCCGCCATCTGGACGCTTCCGATGGGAGTAGTGTAGAAGGCGGGCTGGGTTTTCCAAATGACGAGAGCTCTAATTAGTGGTTGTTCGGATTTATTAGGATTTGATAGGGTCAAACATGGGCCCACACAAGAAAATTATGGATTAACAGTCTGATTATAACATAGAAAATAAGAATTATGAGATATCTATAGCCATGTTTTTTTATAATGTCTATCTATAGCCTGTAGCCTTGTTGACTAAGTAGATCTGGACCATTATGTTGTTTCATTATATCAAAATTTTGAACTTATCTTTGAAAGGGAAAAGAAATCTTGTCAGGTTAGGTGTCACATTAGCAAAGGATGAAAGATACAAAAATTTAATAAAATAAAATATATATATATAGAAAATTTGGTAGAATCAATATGGCAAGACAAAATCTTTTTAAAAAAATTGAAAAATTAGGAAAAATAATAGATGACTATCAGAAATGTATAATAAATATAATTGAAGAAAATAAGGAATAAGAACAATTTTAGAGTGACAATATAAATTAAAACAAAAGGAATTATACTCTGATTTAGAATTAGCAAATGATGTAATTAATAAAATTATAACAAATATACAAAATAAAAATGAAAATGATAGCCGAATCTAGAGAAAACTCAACGATTTTAACAGAAGTAGATCTTAAGGAAATAATCATCCAAAGGCAAACGAAAGGATGGGCCTAAATTTTACATCCACATCTCCACGGTTTTTTATTGAGGGATTTGCACCCAAATATCTCTCAAATCCCACCAATTAAAAACCTGCATTCAAACCACCTCAAATGATTTTTGGTTCAAGACCCAATCAAAGATCTAGACTAAGTGGGAGTGGGCTTTTGGCCCTAACCCGAGGCAAGGGGGAGAAGTGGGCCATAAGCCCATGCAAAGATGAAGGGGAAGAAAGTAAGGGCGTGGCTCAAGCTCGGGATAGAGGAAAAGAGGAAGAACAAGCATGATGCCCGACTTGAAGAAGAGGAGTCATGTTCCTCTGGTTCTAGGTGAATTCGACCAGAAGCGCAAGAAAGAAACTAAAAGATAAGCAGCGGCAGATCGTGAGAGGAGGTCAAGAAAATCGACCGAGAACTATGGAGGGTGACATTAACTCTCATATAGTTTTAAGTACTAGAGATTTTAAACGTAAGGGCATAGACTGACCCCAACCACTCACCAGATTGAAGAGAACAATGAGAAGCTAGAGGAGGAGTTAGAGAGCAGCGAGTTCGAGAGCAACGATTTCAAGAGCAGCCAGCTAGAGGAGGGCAGTACAAACATCACAGAGGATGTCTAATCAGGGTGTTCCATAAGTAGCAATATTTGAGACTATATACTTATTACTTTTTATGATTGTGATTTGTGAGTATTAGACTAGATATCATGTTAAGAATTTAAGGATTGAGTTTGCCCACGTGTTAGGGCGTTGCTTTGGTAAAATTAGTGTCCTGCCGGACTAGGGTGTTACAATTTCAAATCCTTTGCACAAGGAAGAGAAATATTCCTTAAGTACACATCAAGCTACCCAATATTCGACGAAGAAAAACAAATCTCGAAGACAAAAGCAGTAATTAAAATGAGAGTATCAAACAATGGTTACCCAACAAGGGATGATTTCAGAGACTGAAAAAAACTAGATTATCATACTGAGAGATTAATGGCTGTCTGCAAACCTTTAACCAACATCAAACTTGAAAGCAATATCAAGGTTAATTATAGCATCAGTAATATCGTCATCATCGGTAGTATAAATAACACAATATCAGCGGAAGAATGGACCGCTGTTACAAAAATGATGAAAGATTTCACAAAACTGGAAGGAGCATTGGCCCCATTGCAAGAACATATCAAGAGACAGATGTGTGATGCACTTAGTTTTTATGAGGGTGACAATAATGTAGAAAAATAGACCCTAGGGTGGCCAACTACCCTTAAAATTGTGCAATTGTATCTTTACTTTATGAACTTTGTAATGTTAGCAATGACGATTTCTGGTTAACCCCTCTACTATAAATAAGGGAACTATATGTAAGCTTTGGTTCAGAGTTGAATGAGATAGATTTCTCACATTTCCTCACCCTCTCTAAGCTATAGTTGTAAGGCTTGAAACTTTGGTTTCTGGAGGCCATCAACCTTGGATCCTCAATCCCAGAAGGTTGAACACCAAACATAAGTCAAACAACCAGCAAGCGAACAACATAAGAAATCATAAATTATCGACCAACAAAGCAATTCAGGTATGTCCTTTACTACTAATAATGAAATCTTTGATTATATCAATAAGGTAGAAGAAGAAGATTATTTTTTAGATGGAATAATTGATATTAAAACACTAAAAGGAAAAACTAACTTCACTTTATCAAATAGACAAAATTTTGTCTCAAAACCCTCTCTTGATAGATTATTCGATAGGGAAAACATAATTAAATATGGTGAAACATAGGAGAAATAGCAGTTCCAATTGACAAAACCAATGATAATTTGTATTTCTTAATACAAATTATCAACAAGGAAAAGATTAAGAAAAGATTATAAAATTTGAAAGAGGAAGAACGAAGAAAAATTAGTTATATTCATATTAGCACAATATAAATTACTCTAAAAACAACCATGAAAATCGGCATAAACGCTTCAATAGATTTAGAAATAAGATATGATAGACTAGTAAATCTTGACGAAAGTATAATAGCCAAGAGATAAAGAAATTTAAGATTGGGAATTATAAAATTTGATATTAACCTCCAACAAGGATTAAGTTTATCGGCCAGAAGCCTAGATTTCTCCATGGTTCTACAACCACATTTTCATCTGTCGAAATAAAATGTTGGAAGATATATGTACCAACACTTTTTGTAAATGTCGTAAGGTTTTATAGTAACATTTTCATATGTCAAAATAAAACGTCGGAAGATATATGTACCGACATTTTCTCTAGATGTCGCAAGGTTCTATAGTCACATTTTCATATGTCGAAATGAAATGTCAGAAGATATATGTGCCAACATTTTCTGTAGATGTCGCAAGGTTCTATAGTCACATTTTCATATGTCGAAATACATGTCGGATAATGTAGGTACCGACATTTTTTGTAGATGTCGCAATAACTTTCAGCGAAAAAATAAAAAACGACATTTCGATACAATTAGCCATCATTTTTTATAAATGTCGGCGCAAAACTAAACCGACATTTTGACATCTTTAAGCGACATTTGAAAATAACGCCATAAGCTTTTTTTTTGTAGTGATCAAACCAGAGAATTCATCAAAGAAAATAGTAAACTTTTCTCGATAACATATCAAATTATTTATGCTATAACAAAAAGTCATCACAACTTAGGTTTCAAAGATAAGGAAGTTATAACCATAGATAACTTTTTCAAACCTCTTTTGTATTTGGAAGCACCATTTAAAATAGTAAGAAGTCAAACACCTTGTTCCAGTATAACTCGAGATCTAAGAGCAATAACACAGAAAGATGAAACGAAGGAAATTAGAATTTAGAAACACTCTAGTAATCCAACAAAACCAAGAAGAAAGTCGAATAAAAAAATTAAAATAATTAATAATAAATATATAAAAGAATATAAAATTGAACATGAATTCTAATTACCACATGACTAAGTTTATAGAATATTTAGATACAATATATCTTGCCTCTTTCGAAAATATTTCTGTTTTTACAAGAGAACTATCTTGTTTTGCAATAGAAATTCAAGTTGAACAATCTATTAATGGGATTCCAAACACTTATTGAAGCTATTCAAAGACAGAATTTATAACTGATATTATTAAAAGTCGAGAGAATTCATAAAATATATTTAATCCATAAATTAATTTCATTACACTTAATCAAAATAAGTATATATTTAAATTTTTAATATATAAATCATTATAAAGACACTATTTGTGAAATTGTTTGTGAAATTATAAAGACATTATTTGTGAATTTGTTATGGTATCAGTACCATAAGAGATCATAGAAATCAAAAGGGCAAGAAGACAAAAATTAGGTGTGTTGTCTCTAGAGGTGCCAACAGACCAGACTTCTTTTAAAAATAATTCTAACACTAACCAAAGTCTGTAGAAGCTTGTCTTCTCTCTCTTATTTAAAAAAACTCTCACTTCTCTCTAGATTTTACATATCAGTTCCTCGTCCTCGTTGGGTGACTGGTGGCAACCCAACCCCTTCATTTTCTGCTTTGCTCTCTTTTATTATTTATCTTTTATGTTTTACTTTCCTTCTAGCTCTTCTTCACCTTTTGATTTCCCTCCTCTGTATGTCTTTTCCTTCTACCTCTCCTTGGGGAATGGTTGTTTCCAGCTCCAACTTCTAATCCAACATTCACATTTAGAAGTTCTTAGGAGCCTTTCGGCCTATGGGCAAAGGGGGGGGGGGGGGGGGGGGGGGGGGGGGGGGGTTTGGTTTCTACTCCATAACTTGTCTTCTCATCTCCAAACCTCTCATCTACCTTTTTGATTAACCAACGAGTCGCTGATCCGCAGATGCAATGTAGTTAAAATCACGTTTCTATGTAGAAACGTTTTGGGATCTAGAAGCATAAAATCGTAAGTTTTTAAAGTTACATTAGCTATAAAAACTGTGATTTTGTGTAGAAGCGTTTTGGTGAACTAGAAACGTAAAAAGTAAAGTTTAAACTTTAAAATGCGATTTGGACTACATTGTTGAGATGTAATGGTATTCTCTTCACGTAGAAACCTGGATGTCGTTTGTTGAAGTAGAAGGCAGAGATGCATGACTTTGGCTCTTGTCAATCTCTCTACTTCACCCTGGTTGAATTTGATCAATTTGTACTTATGTGGTTGGGTAGGTCACTTACCCGGGCTTATGGTGGCTCAAGGCTTGGGATTCTTCTAGACAACGGTGGTTTCCTCTTTGATAGCCATGGTATGCTCGGCCGCGGTGGAGGCATTGAAAGATGAAGGTTGTATGTAGCTCCTCTGTTGTGGGCTCTTCTTTTGTTCGGTCTGGTGTTTATTTCTCTTATGCATTTGTTTGGGCCTATTGTGCCGGGGCTTTCATTTTTGCTTGTCTTTTACTACTATTGTCTCTCAATGGAGTTTTAAACTCTAAACTTTGTACCACATTTGAAGTGAAATTTAAGCAACTTTCTTGTATGAGGCAAGTTACTTTGGGTGATGGTGCTTAGTGAGCTCTGGAGGGAAAGATGTCGAAGATTGTATGCAAGTGAGTCATTGTCTGTAGTTCAGTTCATATAGAAGATTCAGGGGCTGCTTAGAGTCTTAAGATATAGTATTCCATGTGTTGCTTCTGTCATTTCTGAAAGTGATGTTGCTAGTCTGTCTCCTTAACTCTGGGTAGTTTTTTTGGTGATGTACAGTTCATATTTGGTTTTGGTTTTTCTGTAATCGGGTCTGGGTTTTTTTTCCAGTTAGGATGACTCATTTGTCATTCTATCTTGATGAATAAAATGCTTATTCATAAAAAAAGTCACTAAAAAACTAAGCATTGGAGACTTTGTTAAGTATTGACGGTACAAGAAGAATTTTTTCCCCAATTTCCTAAATATCTTTTGATTCATAAGTGACATAAAATCACATGAGAAAGCTGATGAAGGCATTTGAGAAAGCAACCTCTAATTAAAAACTTTCATTGTGGAAGCAACTTTTGATAGGTATGAGGTAATGGCCTAGAAAGGGCGAGAAGAAAAATGTAATAACTCTAAACATGTCTAGAACATATACATTGAAGAATAAAGTAATCCATTGATTGTTCCAATGAAAAGCACATACAATAGTAATTTGATAGATAGGAACCTCAGAGCTTCAGTCATTCTGAGTGATGATCTTCCTTCGGTAGACCGATGAGCAAATGTTTGAATCAAAGTTAACCTAGAGAGCTAGACTCTCTATAGTCGCATTCCCTAAAACCATCTCTAATAAGGGAGCGTCAAAGTACTAGAATGCTAGATGAGTTCGGCATTTTGGCTCCCTAAAAGTGGATTTTGCTCCAATAAGTAGTGTTAGGATTCCAAAGTGCCAAACTTTCTTTTTTTGTGATAATGTACATTAGTGTAGATTCATCATTTTAATTAGATAGTTTGTAGATTATTTTAGGGCTAATACCATTAAAAATACCAATTTTTAGCGAGTGTGACATGTATATCACATAACTTTTGATATGAAATTTGTATACCCACATTAACTTTTCCGTTAGTAGTTAACATAAAATATAGTCCGCAATGACATGGCTGTTGACCTGAAATTTTTTAATAAAAAATAAAAAGGGAGATCCACCTCTTTCCTCTCTCTCTCTCTCTCTCTCTCTCTCTCGCCGTCCACTCCTCTCCTCAAGAAACCCCTAAAAATTTAATTGCCCAGAAGGTGGTGCCATCGCACCTTTATCCTCTCACAACCTTCTCTCAATTTCTTCCCTTTCTGTTGAACTACGATACATTGTGTTGCAAATTCAAAGCGACGTAATTAGTGAGGCTATCTTTGCAGAAAGCGTGAGAGTAGCCTGATAATGCCATATTCGAACATGTTTTCCCGTTATTTCTTGACCGTTTGAGCTTGGTTTATCGCTCTAGTGGCCTATTTTACGCTAGGTTGTGTTTGTTTGTTTGTGATGTTTCAGGTCGTAGCACGTGAATGGGTGCGAAAGAGCAAAGTCGGGACGTTTTGGAGAGAACCGGGCAGTGGCCAGCTGAGAGATACGACCATACGACCCTTCAAGTTACGGTCTGGCCTGTAACCCCTCATGGTGGCCCTTAACCTTACAGTGGAGCAGACAGAGTTCCAAGCAGCTTATGGAAGTTACGACCAGTTACGGTCTGGGCCGTAACTCTCCCTTCTTGCCCGTAACTCTGAGGTGGTGGAAGTCAAGTGATCATGAGCATATTTGAAGTTATGGCCTTCCCCCTCGAGTTACGGCTGAGGCCGTAACTCCCCCAAGGAAGTCGTAACTCTTGGTTTACGGAGTGCCACAACGACGCCGTTTCTAGGAAGTTACGGGCAAGCGAGCAAAGTTATGGCTGTAACTTAGGCCGTAACTAGCGGATTCTCAGCCTATTTAAAGGCTTCTCGGGAAATTGGCAAAGGATCCAATTTTTTGGACTTCCAAAGGCAGAAAAAATCCTAGAGAGAGTGACAAAGCAAAACCCAAGGGCAATGATTGGAGCGATCTGAAGACCTCGGAGCTCGATTCCCCAACCTCAGAGTACCAATTAACCACCAGGAGGAGTTGTCCATTGTCGTTCTGATGATGTCTACTCCGAGCATGACGTTTTTACATCTCTCCATGGAGTAATTTTCCATTTCATCTGGGTATGAAGAACCCTAGCTATGAATGTTAGGAATGATTGTATGAATCCCATGTTATGAACCCTAGCTGTGAATGTTAGTAATTATCCCCTTCCCACTCTGCCGCCGTCAGTCGACATCTCACTTACCAACCGCCTCCGCCTCGGGTTCCTCCTCAGTTTTTGCCCCGTCGACACCCCCTTCTTCCCTCCTTCGTTCTCGCTAGCGTACTCCTTCACTGCATCAGCTCCCCTGATCAGCGGCCCTACCCTGTTTCGCTGGCGCGGCGGCATCGAGGGGAGCGAGTAGCATCATTGCTCCTTGTCGGAGTTGGAATTGGAGGAGATGAGGTCGAGGCGTACGGGTCCTAGGGTCGTGTTAGGGTGGACCCGTTTTGGGTTCTGGTCAGAGAGCTCCACGTCGGCGTCGAAGCTGTGGATGGAATCGGAGGAGATGAGGTCAAGGCGTACGGGTCCTAGGGTCGTGTTCGGGCGGACCCGTTTTGGGTTCTGGTTAGAGAGCTCCGCGTCGGCGTCGAAGCTGCGGATCGATAGGCCGAACATGAACGTCTGGCTCATGGCTAAGTCTTCGTCGTCGTCACCGTCGTTAGTGTACATCGAGCTCGCGCAGACCGACAACCTGGAGTGGTTGTGATGGGAGTGAGGGTGGGAAGAGTGGAGATTGTAGCCGTCATCGGAGTCAGGGTCGAGGAAGTCATCGACGAAAGAGAGCACGACGGAGCTTTCGCCGGACGCCATAGAAGCACCAGTAGTAGTAGTGAGTGGCAAAAATCACGGACCAGGAGTTGGAAGAAAAGGGAATATTGGAATTGGAGAAAAGGAGAAGCAAGTGGAGAAAACATAGCTTAAAGAAGAGATTTGATGGTTGGTTCTTCCGTGAATGATTGATTCTGTTTGGGTTGGGTGCGACTTTGGAGTAGTGAATAATTAATTGCTCATGGAAGAAATTAGGGTACTTTTATTTTAAATAAAAGTGATAATGAGGTGGAAATGTGATGGCAATTTTAACAAATTTAATTTTAAAATATTTATTATTTTTAAATTGACACGTCACATATTTATCGGTCAGCTTTTAGCGTTGACCGACACGTAAGCAAAAGTTAACGGAGTTGGATAGAGAGTGACCAAACGTGAATGGTTTTAGTAACCTGAAGTACCACCAACGGATTTAAATATTCCGAGTGATCAAATTTGAACATTTTTTGAAATCTCAGTGACAAACCATGCAATTAACCCCAAAATAAAGGGATGATAATACTCGATAAAATCCAAAGCTGCAATGCGCGTCAGACGCTCACGATCGCCCAGCTCTCTGAACGGAATTGTGCGCAATGCTGCTTGCGTTCTATCCCAACGCCCCGTTGCTCAACGTTGTCCGGCGCTACTGCTCGCTGTTATCGGCGCTCGGCTGCTACTGCTCCAATAAAACTTTCGCCCAAAAGAATTCTCTCCCCCCTTCTACAGTCGAACTCCGTCCAATTATATACCCCCTTCCACTCTCCAAAACGACGCTATGTTATGCCTTCAGTAAAGGCCAAACGACTTGGTCTAAAAAATTCAAAGAATGGCCATCTTCCTTTTACGCCACCGTTTTGCGCTAGCCTTGTCCTCCTCAGAAAAGGACAACAAACTCGGTCCAATTAATTCCTCCACAATACACCTGACAAGCACTCCACTAGTCCAATTCCTTCGTCCTAATTTCGTCGTCCAACTAAAGCATGAATGCCCGGCCTGCTAGTACTCATGCTCATGATTGTTAGCCCGTTCCTTTTTCGTGTTTTCTTCACCTGTAATACATCGAACTCATGGAACTAGCCAGTAATGGTTTTTTAACCATTCCAGGTTAGGGAGCCCTAAAACTTGCCACTATATGCTCAAACGTATCATCAACTAATCATATTACACACGAAAAATCAATATGTTCTAGCCGATTATAAGTTGGTCATGAGAGACAATCCAAAGGAAGGGTTTGATTCGATTCGGCCCGCTCCACTTCCACTCACTTTTCCATATAGTCTTCACGTTCACTTCTATGTCAGTCTCCGCTTCATTTCGAAGCCAATCCTCTACGACGAAGTAGGCCATATTGATACTAAAACGCCTGGTCTGTTCCATGCCCCAAACCATGTCGTCATCTCATGCCTCTCTAATAAGCGTGTCATGACCTGCAATAAAAAACAGATCATTAGGTAAATAAAGGTCAAATTTACTCCACAACCACTCACCTGAATCTGATACCATATCAGCCATAGAGGCATTTCAATCCACGACATCTCCTATGTTAGTAGTGTGGCTAGAAAATTGACCTGAGTGTTCTTCTTTCCCACTTTAAAGCTTTTGACATTCTTCCCATCCATGCTTTGGAACTTTCTTTATTTCTGTTTCTGGTAGTGCTGACGAATTGAAGAGGAACAGTGGGGTCTTTGTTCTTGCGATCCAAATTGCCTAGGATAGTCGAGAGGGCGGAGAAGGCTTCGCCTATAGCAGTCTTTTCAGTGGGCTTCTTGACTATTAGGGAATCCCAACGAGCCCACAGTTGTGGGCTTAGCAGTAGGGGTGGAAATTGGGGTGGGTGTGGTTACCCGCTCCACATTTTGTGGGTAACCACATCCACAAATATAGAATTATGCTACCCAAAACCCGCCCGTAGTGGGTAGTGGTTAACCACTACCCGCTGCGGGTTGGTGCGGGTTGGTTGTGGATGCCCACAAATATTTCACATTAAATTCTAATAATATTATAATTAAATAGTGATGTTATATTTCTTCTCACACAAAAACAAAAACATACATGAAAGAAAGTTAATAAACTGTAAAATAAATTATAAATCTCGAATACAATAGGTTAGTTAGTGTAAATTCAGAAGTGATGGATTTGGAAAGAGATTTGAAATAACGGAGAGGCGGAGTGATATGTTAACAGACTAACATCGTTGCATGTCACGACTCCTTCGATGACAACTACAGCAAAACACAAAAGTGGCTCGATAAGTGGAGGCGCCCGCTTTTAATGAATCGATTATTCTCCACTCTCGATTATAGTCTTGTGTTGTTGGTAGTTGGTTGTATGTTGTGTTGTTTGTGAGTTCGTGGAGAAATTAGATGAGTTTGGGTATCTGACTAACCTTTATTGATTATTCCCCTCTTTTAACGAATCGATTAATTTATCTGACTATATCTATGGAGTTGGTTTTGTTATAAAATAAACATATAACACAGGGACAATGCTTATTTAATAAAAGTATCTCACATGAACATTGCGTATTGACTTGGTTTTGTTTTATAGAATACGTGCATATTTAATTTTGGTAGCTACTTTAATTCTTAGTCTTCCAAGTTTCACAAACTAATATAACTAATGTGGTAAATGTGGGTTACAAAGTATTTTGAAGAAATAAATATAACTAATGTGGTTAATGTGGGTTTTGTGGGAACCGTTGTGGGTAGTGGTTAGCCACTAACCACAAAAATCAATATTTTGCTACCCACACCCAACCCACTATCCACAAATTGTGGGTATGGGTATCCACAAAGTGTGAGGTTTGCGGGTTACCCGCAAACCAAACTTCCACCCCTACTTAGCAGCAGCGCCATCAAGCCCAGTCGTTGAGGAGGATCCATTACCAGCGGTTAATGGGGCTGTGGATTTGGCTGAATGATCGAAAAGTGAGTTAGCCTTTCCCACCAGTTTCCATTATTTGATTTCGGCCAATTTTCCTAGATTATGAAGGAGAGGATCTCCTTTAGCCGCAACCTTCCCGACATTCTTCCCCGAAATTCCAGATTTGTTCTTCACCTTGAGAGAATCCTTTCCTTTTCTATTCTTGTTGCTCGTTGTAGGAATCAGATCTGCCTTGGCTTGTTGCGTAGATTTCACACTTTGGTTCCCTGGAGTAGCAATCTTTCCATTCTGATTTGCTTGAGCGTTCCTGTGATTAGTGCCTCCCTTTTTGGTAGGTTTCCGACTTTTACGGTTCACCTGAATCTATGGCCTATAACCGGCCAGCGATTCCACCGGTGGCGGTTCCGATGTTCCTTTTTCGGCCATCGTGTCGGAAGAGGTGCCTGACTATTTCGTGGGGCAAACAGTTTCAGTATGGCCGATTCACCCACACTTAAAATAGATAGTGGGTAAATTTTCGTAAAGCACCTGCTGCCAGAGCCCATCCAATCGTATACGTGTTGCGAGAGGTTTAGTCACGTCGATCTCCACCGCCATTCTAGCCAATTTTCAACCCTCTAGGTTTTTCTTATGGTAGTCAAGTTTAATCGTTCTTCCAATAAGGTTGCCCAGATCCAAAAGGACTTCACGATGGTAGAAATGGGCGGGAAGTTCTGGTAGCTGAACCCAGGCAACCACCGATTTGTGTGGTTTGTCGGAGGTACTAAGGTTGTAGTACTTGGACGACAGTAGGGAGTTGTTGTTTAATGAAATGGGCGGAGCCGGAGAGCGTCCAACTAATTATTGGACTCTGGAGGACATGATAAACAAGCTTCCTTTGGATAACGGGTACTACTCCGTGGGAATTCAGAAGGATCTCGTCGAATATGAGGACTTCATGAGAGATAATGAAGATGAAGACTCCATGGACGATGATATGGACTTTGTCAATGAGACCAATGATGATCCTTCTAATCCACACTTTCAACCCCCAAGAATCCTTACGATTCTTGTTTATGTATTTACTATCTTTGTTTAAGGAGTTGATATGTACGTGCGTGCGTACATATGTTATTGGTGTATATATGTTGATGCAAATGATTTATTTACATTCTTCTGATAAACAAAAAAGTTTATATTTTTCAAATATTGGAAAAATCGGCTGGACAAACTGTTACAAACTTTAACAATATGGTTGTAGCCACTTTATCAATGCATGTACATGAGATACGACCAAAAGTGCATCTACACATAATATAATACACCGAAGGGACAAACGGGAGCCCCATTTCAAATTTACTGCAACGAGAGTGAAAGTAGGAAGGACATTTTGGTCTTCACAATTACTTTTTTTATTCATTAAAAAGACACATACTGGGATTTGAACCATAACCATTTTAAAGAAAAGCAAGGATCATAACCAATCACACTAAGTACATTTGGTGTATCTTTTTAAATTAAAAACATATAATAGCAGAGAGGAAAAAACCCTTCCTCCATTTCAAATTTTCTGCTCCAGGAGCGTTTGTAGGAAGGGTAGAATAGGGAGTGTCAATTTTCTCTCTTTCCTCTGTGGAACGGGCCAACTTACCGTACACATGCGGATTTGAAAGGGTCTAGGAGTGTCTATTTTTTTCTTAAATTCCTTTTATTTCTCCGCGGTGATAAAATATATATATGAAAAGGCAAAAATAATACTTCTTTTTATTGCTAAAAATAAAAAAAATTAACAATAAACTAATGCATGGTATCTAATGGGCTAACCGCTAACCATAAAATAAAAGAGTTGAATGGGCCTGACCTACACGGAATTTGGCCATCAAGTAAAAATAATGAACATCATTGGTTTGAAATTCTAACACAAACTATTTTCTCTGGCATAATATATATTATGATATTATTTTATATCTTAGTGGCTAAAATATAATGTATTTTAAAGTTATTCAATGGTCCAACCTCGACCAACCCAATTAGTCCAATTTTTATCATTTCAAATATATATTATATAATTATTTGATATCATAATGATCAAATTATAGTGTATTTTATAGGGAATCGTTTGATATTTGTTAGAAAAGAACTAAACAGAAAGATCTATGTGGTTATTTTAAACATTAAAACGATCCTAAACATTTTCAGTTCTTTTGAATTTCTATGGTTTTATTCCCGAATAAGTGATGTGCAAATGGCGAATTGCAGTCATCTCTTTTCTTTCCCTATTTTTTATTTTCAAATAGAAAGTTTAAAAGTAAAGAATAATTAGAATTTGGCATGGGTCGATCAAACAGGCTGAATTTCAAGTTTTGGCCCGTTTTGATCAAGTCTAATTTATAATCACATGGTTCCCTGATACCCGATAAAAATCTCTATCCAAACCAGTTTGGCAGGTGAGTACGTGTTTACAACCATTTTCTAGGGATACGACAACGGCGGTTCCTATCCCAAATCGTGTTGTTCGTTCTTGATTTCCTTAGATTTTATCATGGCCTGACAAAAACCAGAAAGCACAATGACGACAAGATGAAAGTTTTATAAAGCAAATTAGTCGGCCAACAGGCCGAGTAAAAGCTAGCAACGATTGTGAGATGCTCATTTCCTGAAAACCGACGAGATAGGCAATTTTTTATTCGATTTTCTGGAATTCGGTTTCTATAAAACTTACTCCACCTCATCATATTACCAGAAACAATATTGTTTCACAAGGTAATAGGTACTTGATTTTGGTTCATAAGACTGATTTTTAATTTGTTGCATCATTAATGTCTCTTTCCTGCTAAAATTCACTATTTTTATCACGTGTTTCCCAAAAAAAAAAAAACTATACAACAATACATTATCAAATTTCATGTCTCACCTTCCTCCGGCCAACTGGCCGGGGCCCACACTAGTGAAACTTGTAGAACAAGATACCAGAGTATACATACATCGGGAATTCTTTGTTGCCGCACCTGTACCGATGCCGTCGACTTTCTACCGGCTATAGCCGGTGTTTGACTTCCCCGTTTGATGGGCTATGGAAACAAGAAAAAAATATTTCCCGCTTGATGTAATTTACAATAATGTTAAATCCTTAACATAAAGATTATGCAATATTTTTTCATGTTTTCATTTTATTTTGTTCAGTTATTTTTTTTTAAATCAGACGCGTAAAAGACTGTAAGTGCAGTTTTTTTGTTATTATAAAATTAGAGTTCCTATATAAGTTTAATTTTATATTAATAAATAAATATGTATTACGTACGTTAGTATACATTTTTATTGTAAAATTATGTACGCCAATTCTTTTTATTCTAAAATTGAAAAATACATATGGATATAAATGCATCATATATATTAATAAAGGGTACTAGCAAGATTTGTTTGTTAAAAGGGGCGAGTGACTTAGTGCAGGTTTTGGTTTTTATAAAAATTAGACATACTACTTCCTTTGATTTTACCTTTGGATGGCAATGGGACGGGTCGGGTATCTTAATATCCATGTCCCGTGTAATGCTATTGCAAGTTGGGGCGGATAATATTCGTGTGAGTACGGGGCAGGGCGGGTGGACTCACTCTTGCATGTTATTTGAAAAATATATAAGCAAATCTTTACTTTTTACAATAAAAAAGGAAACACTTTATAAATGAAAATAGAGATAAAAGAATAGGTAATTTAGTCTAATTAGTTGAAAGATCAAGTCTAACTAATTGAGAAACATAATGGGCCAAGAACGGGGCATGACGGGGCAGGGCGGGTCAGAAGTAGATACCCATACCCTGTCTCGGGTTCAGTGGCGGATCTAGAAATTTTAACAGGGGTGTCCTCTTCAAAAAAATTTTTTTAATAAAATAAATAATTCATAAATAAAAAAATATCGGACTAGTACAAATTTTAACATAAGGCCACGACGTGTTTTTATTTTCTGAAAAAGAATAACAAATAGGCTTGGTAAATTGCTCAACAAATCTGTATATCCTACTAGACAATAGTTCACGAACTGATCGCATATGGATTTCTAACCTTGTTATTGATGTAACTCAAAGTTGAAAAGACTCTTTCAACACTTGTTGTGTAACCATAAAATCAATTCAAATTAAGGGTAGCCCGTAATTAGTTTAATTGTTAGGTTTTGGAAATAGTTGGGGATAAGGAATGACTTTTTACTATTATGTAGTGTTTACAATAGAACAAAATGAGTTGCAACTTAACGGAGGACAATGTTTAAATAATATAGTATATCCTAAGTTTGAATAATACAGATGATCGCTTTTTAAGTATACGCAAACTACTATTGAGGATAGGATTATCGTTGTAGGGGTGTCCCAAATCACTAATTATAATTTTTTTATCCATACAAAACTATTACCGGGAGTTGAATAATCGTATTCCCAAATTTTAGGGTCTCCCAGGACACCCTTAAACCCTCCTGTATCCGCCCCTGCTCGGGTTGCTAGGGTAACCTGGTTTGGTCATTATTTTTTCTGTAACTAATTAACATTCTCATTGAAGTTCATTTGACCAAAATAGATAGCAAAACCCAATTGTTGCTAGATGTTGGGAATCTTTTACTATAAAATTTTCTTTCATCTACATAAGTAAAATTAGTAAATTTTTTGAGCAATAGAGTAAATGCTTTACTATTCTTCGCCCTACCTTTTCCTAATCATCGCCCTAAATTGATGTAAAAAGTCTCCAATGATCTTAATGAATATCATATCCTTGATATGAGAATATGATATTCAATAAGGGTATATAAGACCTTTTACATCAATTTAGGGCGATAATTAGTAAAAAGTAGGGTGACGAATAACAATCCTCGAGAGTAAATAGTAAGATATTAGATCCTTTCCAATTACCACGATTCAAACTTATTATTTTATGGCTTTTTAGCTCTCCAAACCTCATTTTCACTCAAACCCTACACAATGCTAAATTTAGCTTCCTACCTACCTTTTTTCAATTTATTACAATAAAGCATACTTATTTGACCTCTAATTTTCATATTTCACTTTAATTTTCTATATTTAGTTATTAGTTTTGAAAACAAAATTTTCTATGTAATTTTTTTTTATTCCGAGACAAAAAAAGTTTCGGAAAATTAGTCATTATTTTGTTACCTTTAACTTTCGGACCAATGAAAAAATACCAATTAAACATATAACATTTCATATCTTCTTTCAAACAATTAAATAAACAACATACACAATCAACCAATGACAAAATACCACACAAAAAAAGCAAAAAGAAAAAACAACACAATCAACCAATGAGAAAATCTCACAGAAAAAACAAAAAACAAAAAAATTAAAGAGGACCCACCGCGGGTCCACCATTTCCTCTAGCCAAATTTGGCTTTTTCACCTTTTTGGAAGCTAAATTTGGCTCCCAATTCACCAATACCCATTTTTAGCTCCACAAAATAATGTGGGTTGGAGCACAAAAAAAGAGCTAAAAATGGGTAAATGGCTTTTTAGCTCTAGGGTTGGAGTTAGTCTAACTACATAATAAGACAAGAATAATTTTCAAGTACACACTATTGAAACAAGATACTGGAGTGTACATAATAAGACAACAAGAGCACTTCTACTATGCTATATAGTATTGGTGCTTTAATGTACAACTTAAAGTTGTACCATAACATTAAATGTATAAGTTTAGGTTGTACCATAAAACAATTTGTAACATTATGTTATGGTACAATTTTACAACTTGAAGTTGTACCATCACATAAATGTACAAGTTCAAGTTGTACCATAAAAGAATTTGTACACAAAGTATAGGTACAATCTGAAGTTGTACCATAATGTAAATGTACAATTTTAAGTTGTACCATAAAAATAAAATCCTATAGCACCAGTACTATATAGCATTGTAAAATTTCTCAAGACAACAATAATTCCTGAGTACAAACTACTCAAATATAAATGTGCGGCTTCAGTTATTGAAGCTTATTCATTAATCAACTAGGCTGCTACTAGCTACCGACATAGTTCAGACGGATACACATAATAAGACAACACAATGATGTGCTTTAATTTCCATGGAATTGGAAAGAAAAGGCACCTCAGATCTGCGATAAACAGAGCACCCACGCTCTGGAGAAAGCTGGAAGGGGGAGAAAGCAGCTTAGAAGCGCTTGATGAAGTCAAAGATGTGCTGAGTGATCTCGTCAGGTTTGACCAAGTTGGGGAAATGAGGCACTCCTTTCATCACCACCACTTGTTCCAGCAGCGGCACTTCCTTCTTGAACTCCTCGCCGTGAATGTAGTCCTTCAGCCCCACCATGTGGTACGCCACGTCCTGATCTCCGACAATGAACTTGGCCGGCACTGTGTACTTGCAATCTCCTCCCGCCCACGGCCCCATCAGCTCCCCTGTTCTGCGAACAAGTTACAGAAGAAGAAGAAGATCAAATGGGTTGACAGAAAAGATTTGAAGTTATCTAGTCGATGATATATATATATAGCTTACAAGGGGAAGGCTCGATAGTAATTGAGGCCGCCGGTGAAGCCGGTTTTCTGGAACTTGGAAGCGTAGTACTTGACGTCTTCTTCGGATAGCCAAGACGGCAAGCTAGGCGGGTCGGGTAGCCCCCGGAAACGGGTTTCTCTCGGCACCATCGGCGGGTCGGGCTTGCTGAATAATGTGAACAGCTTCACCATCATTTTGCCCGTCTCCACCTCAGCAAATTCCTCTTCTACTTTCCCCACTTCCTGCAACACATTCAAAACAGAGTCCGGGGTTTCGATTCAATACAATCGAATTGACAAGTTCCAATTTGCTCATGGATCTCAATTTCCCGCCAATTATTTGGGCAAAAGTACGCACCTGAAACCTGCAGAAGTAGTATTCATCGCCGTAGGCAGCTCGAAAGGCGTCGACGATGTTGAATTCAGGGGACTGGCGGAGCGGCGGAATGCTGAGGTTGACCACGGCGGTGACCCGATCGGGTCGGAGCCTGCAAAAGTACCAGGCCATGGCGGCTCCCCAATCGTGCCCGACCAAGAAAACCTTTTCGATCTTGAGGGCGTCGAGGAGTCCGACGAGGTCGCCGACGATGTGGAAGGCGGTGTACTTGGCCGGAGATGAGGGTGCGTCGGTGTCGCCGTATCCGCGGAGGTCAGGGGCGATGCAGCGGTAGCCGAGGGCAGAGAGGGAGAGGAGCTGGCGGCGCCACGTGTACCAGAGCTCCGGGAAGCCGTGGAGGAAGAGGATCGTCGCTGGCCCAGCTCCGATGGAGGCCACGTGCATGTTGATTCCGTTAGTGGAGATGGTTGAGTGGGTGATTGACTGGTCGCCGCCTTCTCCCGCCATGTGGACGCTTTAGATGAATCCCAGGGAGCTGTGCGGAGATTGGTACTGCAATTTTCGGTTCTTTGTGTATATATTATTAGTTGGCAGGAGGAGGGTGGAAGATGGATGGAGCTGTGAAACGTGGAAAAGGAGCTGGTAGGTAGGTGGCGGAACTCACGGAAGAGTACAGGCACTTGACAATGTGGCCCTAGGTACAAATTTATGAAAACTGAAAAGATAAAAAGTGTAAAAATATTAGGGGTGGGTATTTATTAGATTCTCAATTGAATTCAAAATTCAAATAATAGCTGATTGAAGATAGAGAAAAAGAAAAAAAATATATATATATATATACACAGAGGAGTATAGGTGTCAAAACAGAACCCGACCCGACTAACCCGCCCCACAACCCCGACCGCAACCCGAATTGATTAAAAGTCAACAACCCGTAACCCGCCCGACCCACAACTCCTTAACCCGAACCTGATTGACCTGCAATGCGATTAAACCCGCAACCCAATTAACCCGAATCCGATTGACCCGAACCCGACCAACCCGCAACCCGAACTTCACCTAATCCACTTGAATAATTATTATATTATATAATACATAGTTTTTCAAAATAAAGTTTTTCATTCTAAATTTAGGTAAAATTATTTCTTCATTTCATATAGGAAATTTAAAAATATGAAACTCACTTGATATTATATATTTTAAGAAATTATACACATTGAAAATGAAGGTCACTTGCACACTAAGTTCTTTAAAAAAATTAAAAAAGTAAATATCAAATATAAAAGCAACACAATGTGAATATTAATAATGAATAATTAATAATTGAGATCATGGACAATATTAATATAATATATAAATTAAAATTTTGGTTAATTTAACTATTCAATAAAGTTATCAATTAAATATAAATAAAGTGAAGCAATGTATTTGGTAATTTGATGCTTTTAAAAGAATAGAAAAACTTTGGTGTATTCAACTTTTTCTGAAGATTAAGAAGAGGGAAATTATGTTTTTTGAATTTTTTAGAAAAGAAAAAGGGGAAATTTTTGTGGTTTTGATTTGTGGGTAGTGAAGAAGTGGGAAAGTTTGATTCTTTTGATTATGAAAGAAAAATAAGTAGGGAAATTTTGAGTTTTCAACTTTTTGTGAAGGAAGGAAGAAAGAGTGAAATTTAGTTCTTCAAATGGAAGAGAAAGAGGAGGGAAATTTTAAATTTGGTTTTTTCAATTTATGGAAGAAAAAGAGGAGAGAAAATTGAGTGTTTCTAATTTATGGAAGGTGAAAGAAGGAGGAGAATTTTAGTTTTTTTTTTGTGAAAAAAAAGAAGAAAACAAATTTGGTGTTTACCACAATCATTTATTTTGAAAAAATTCACTTAATTTATCTACTTATTTTCTATGCTTCTACATTTATTGCAATTTCAACACTACATGATCGTTATTTTACAACACTTAGTAAAATTTTTGCACATTTGCAATAACTCAGTCGAGTTGCGGGTTTGGAAATTTTGGTTAATCGGGTTGCGGGTCACTTTGGAATGGAAAATGAGAGGGAGGTTTGGATGGGAACTTTGGAATGGAAAATTTATGGGCGGGCGAATATGAGCCAACAATTATACTAAACTTGATAAGTAAGTTTTGACGGTTCGTTGTTTAGGGTATAAAGCATATGGTTAGGGTATAAGGTATAAGGTACATATGGTTTAGGGTGTATATGGTTAGGGTATAAGGTATTGATGGTTTTGACGGTTCTAAGTTTTTTATTAACATATGTTCACTTGAAGTCATTTAAAATATTTAACTCCAGGAAATCTCTTTTTAATTTATGTTTATGGTACGTGGTTAGGGTACATGGTATATGGTGTAGAGTATAGGATATATGGTTAGGGTATAACAAATATAAATTTTTTATCTATGTTTCAAAAATTAAAGTATGAATTTAATTTTAAATTTACTATACTAGCAAAATCACAACTCATAGGGATATATGGTTAGGGTATATGGTATGTTGTTAGTGTATAATATATTGATGGTTTATGGTATACGATCAATAACATATATTAACTTAATATTGCCGATTGAGAGTAAGGCTAAGTGTATAGGATATATGTTATTGAGTAAGTTATGATTGAAGTCACAATAATTTTACTAAATTTTATAGTTAATCTTTAATGGTTCAAGTTTTAGGGTAATTCGAACAATTTTACAAATAACTCGTTTGACAACAGTTTACTAAAGTTATTAGGGCAATGCATTATTTCGAAATAACTCCTTTTATCACTCTGCTTTTGCCAAATATCACACGCCAAATACCAGATTTGCATGGTTATTCTAAACGAGATACTATAATCCAATTACTACTGAAATAATATTAAAATACCAAATAAATAATTAATGGTGTCTTTTGGTTGTAAATGTTGATATAACCATTACTATTAGCTAGTGTACTTTACCAATTATGATTAATTATATAACAAGTTTGTAATTCATATAAATTGATTCAACATTTTGACTAGTTTTTTTTTAAATTCAGTGTATATATATGAGGTAGAAAGAAATTGGTTAAAAATTGAGAAAAAATATTTTAAATTAGTGTAATAAAATGTGTAAGTTGGTAACGAGTAAGGAGTAAGTTACTCGATGCGCTGACCCGAACAACCCGCAACTCGATCCGCCCAAAACCCGCCCGACCCAAAACCCGATGAACCCGAACCCGACTAACTCGCAACCCGTTTGAACCAGAACTCGATAAACCCGCAACCCATTTGAACCAGAACCCAATTAAACCCAGCCCGAACCCGCCCGATTGACACCTATACAGAGGAGGTTGATGATGAGAAGAGAGAGAGAGTGGGAAAAGCGCTACAATGTCACCTAATTAATTACATTATAGTACCTATAGTTAATACAATTTTACTAATTAATCCTATCTATTTACATGGACTGGTTTCGTGTTTGGTTTGGAGATCAAGTCAATAAAAGTTTGAACTGGTTGAGGTTTGGAGGTTGACAAGTTGCAAGGTTGTGGAGATGTGTTGAACTTTCAGAGCTAAAAATTTATTCCTTGTGACGTGACAGTTAATCTTTTATGTGTTTCATTCCAGCCTAGTTATTCTGCTAATTTGAAGATTCGTTAGTATATACTAACTAATATCTAAAATGTATAAACTAATATCCACGTCTGTTGAGTATCTAGATAACACAAACTAATATTCAAAACATCACAAACTAGTATCCAGATAGCAGATACCAACTAATATCCACAATCAACCAACTAGTATTCAATATGGATACTCTTATGTGTTATCTGGATACTAATTATGTGCTGTATGGATACTATTCTGTGTTGTCTAGATATTAGTTTGTGAATTTTGGATAATAGTTGATTCATGATGGATATCAGTTAGCAAACTTTGAATACTAGTCTGTGCTCTCTAGATACTTTAGTAATTGGATACTAGTTCATGTATTTTGGATATCACTTAGTATCTGCTAACGAATCTTCAAGTTAGCAGATTAACTTTTCCCGTTTCATTCTAGTATATAATACTGGATTTTTTGTCATCTTTACGGCTGACTAACTATCACAGTAGATAGTGTAAGGTTGTTGGGGTTCGAGAGTCAGTTGCTTGAAGAGGAAGCTCATCCACTAGAGTTCTTGGGCAGTGTTAGCAAGGGTAATGTATTCAGCTTTTGTGGATGACGTGGACATTCTCTTTTGCTTCTAGCCTAGGATCGCCAACTAACCAGGGAATCACCTAGAAAATACAATAGCCAATCCCAGATTGTCGAATATTAGGGCATCGTGCATAGTCTGAGTATGAAAAAGCCGTTTAACTTTGTGGTGGTATGAGAAGGGAAAAGAGTCCTATGGTTCTTTTGAGGAACCTTCAGTAGTTTATGTGTTGCTTGTTCATTAACTATAGTGGGAGCTCCAACAAATTAGCTTAATTGATTGACTGTATAGGAAATGCCAGGTCTAGAGTTAAATAGATACTGAAAACAACCAATCAAAGTTCTGTAACTACTGATTGCTGATGTATCCAAAGCTATTGTATTACTTTTAACCATTCCTCAGATTTAGAAGCATGTTTGAAGGTTTTTAGTTCACTGTGAAGACTGATAGATAAAGCAAATTTCCTATGAGAGAGGCTGAGTGATCTGTAAGACAGAACTTCATGGATTGGGTAGTTAATAGATACTTATGTATCGGGAATTGTACCGATAAGATTAAACTTGTAATCCTTAAGATGAGTGAGCTTTTTAGTGATCCCTCTTGATTTCCTTATTGGTTGCGATGCAAAATATTTAGGAGCAGCAGTAGATCTGGATTCAACAATTGGATGTGTTAAAATTTGTTGTGATGAAGTTGGATTGTTTGATTCCAGAGTGATAGAATAAAGAGGACAATCCTGATTGACTAGAACAGGTTTCACTGATATTGGTACAGTTGCTGAAAGCCAATTAGTACCAATATCAGGCAAGGATTGCAGATATACTGGTGTGGGAGGCGGCAGAAGTCAGCAAAAATGCCGATCAAATCTCTGCATAGCATCATAGTAATTATGCTCTTTTAACAGCCAAGAGATGTTTGAGTTTTCTTTATGCAATCTCATTTTGTTGGGATGTATATACAAAGTTTTTTTGGTGTATTATACTTTTCATTTGATAATAATCTGACATTTGGAACTCATGGTCTAATGATTTTTATGTTCGAGTGATACTGTGTTGAACAAAGTTGGATAAGTTTGTGATGAATGTTCTAGTTTCATACTTGTATTTCATAGGAAAATCCAAGCAAACCTAGAAAAATCATTTGCAATTGATAGAAAGTAGTGATGACCATAGGTTGTAGCCTGTAGGAGCTTGTCCCCAAATGTCAACATGAATGAGAAAAAAAGCTTTGTTCGTTTTTCTTGTGATTATAGAAAAATGCAATCATTTTGTTTTGCCTTTGAACATACAATACAATGAAACTGAACATTGCTATGAACAAGACATGTATATGAATGCAGTAGCTGCAATCTATTACCTTGTAGATGGCCCGTCCTATAGTGTGTAAGAAATACGCTTTCTTCGGGCGCTTGTGATTCATGTAATATGATTCATAGAAAGAGACTCAGGGTTAGGGTTTGGGATATTTTGCATAATACTTTTCTGATTAATCTTGAATGAATCCCCAAGTTCATATTTATAGAAAATAAGCCCCAAAAACCTAACAATTAACCCTAACATACTCGGCAACCTTAGCCTCCTAACATTATTAATTATAATTTTTCTAATAATTTATATTTCTAACTATTCACCCTCCTTGAAAGCAAACTTATCCTAAGGTTGCAATCAATTTCCGTCTTCTTGACCTTCCACTTTCTTCGTTTCCAATTGCGCTCTATCTCATGAATGAACCTCTTTCAAGGAACCTCGAATTTTTCCGACTCTTCTCCAACCACGTGATTCATGTCACCATGAACAAATGAATCCACTGTTGGAATATGTAAAATATGAGGACCAAACTTGTAAGTATATTTTGTATGTGGACTAAGGAGGACATAACGTTGAGGCTTGTGGTTAAGCCTCTCCGTGTTTGGCGGCCTACTTAAGAGTAATTATGGCATTATGGTTCATTAAAGAATCTAAGAACCCTATTAGCCACCGTGGAGTAAAGCCTTTCTGAAAGGCCGAACCACGTTAAATCTCGTGTCTTTTATGATTATGTTCATCAATTCTATGTAGATTATCATGGTAGCAGAGTCTCGCGGGGTTCTTCGGGTTTAGCTTTGGAGCTTCGAGTATTCTTTATCACTGCTTCGCAGCTACGTGCTTTGTGTCTTGCTTCGCTGTTGATCTTTCTTTCACCAGACTTGGTCAATTTCTATTTGTGGGTTATTGCTGCTGGGTATTTTTTGGCTGATACTGGGTGTTTTTCGACGGAACTGGTAGTGTTTGTTTGCCAGTTTTTGCGACTGCCGGTCTTGGATTTTCAGCAGCAACGCTCGTGCGTTCTCGTGTGATTTTTCCCTATTGCTCATTTGTCCTTTGTCTCTATTACATCATGGATTCTACAAAAGAGACTGTGTCTGCGCGTCTCAATCGCAAGAACTTCGCGGTCTGAGAATTTCAATTCCGAGTCTTTATTGAAGGTAAATGGTTGTTTTCCTATTTGGATAGCACTCGTGCGATGCCTGTTGATTCCAATTATGAGAAAGAGAAGGCCGACTGAGAGGCCAATAATGCTCTGTTCATGTCGTGGTTACTTGGCGCGGTGGATCTCAACATTGCTTTGAGTTTGCGTTCCTTCTCTACCGCCATGAGATGTGGCGCCACCTATATTGACTCCACTCCCAAGCGAGTGCTTCTCGACAATTTGAAGTCTCTACGACTATTGCCAATTTGTTTCAGGGTGATTTCGATTTTTATGATTACTATCAAGCTGCTCTTCATCTCTCGGCTGAAGAGGATATGCTATCTCTTGATATCACTAAAGGCAGATCACTCCGGCTATGCTTCAGGAACGGAAATGCCTTCTTCTTATGCAATTCCTAGCAAAGCTGCATCCTGAAACTTGAACATGTTTGTGCTTCGTTGCTTCATGGCATCATCTCTACTATTGATGATATCGTCGCTGATCTCATTCAGGAGGAGACCTGGTTGCACAGTCATGCTTAGGTTGATCATGGCTTATTCAGTTCTGATACGACATTTCTTGTTGGTCATTCGGGCAACCCTCAGTTTCAACGCCCGGTTCCTCCTCATGTTGAGTGTAATTACTAACTGGAGAAAGGCCATGTCCAAATTCATTACAGGAAGAGGAACCATTGTAACTATTGGAAGACAGCGGTCATATTGTTTTTGAATGTCCGAGTTTAGCTCGTCTTGGAAGGCTGGTGGCTCACGTCCATCTGCTCCATCTCGTGCGTATGATGTGCATCTCCCGCCGTTGACTCCTACTGCTGGGCTGCTTGGGGCTCCTCCTGCCCCCGTGTCCTTGTCCTCGGATGGTGGGTAAAAGATCGAAATGTGAGCACACATATACTTTGGATGAGTCTCGTTCTTATTTGCCAAAGTAAGACAAGGTGGCTGGCACGCCTTAAACTATTTTGAACAGTTCAAGGTTTCCTAGTGATTTCCATTCTTTTTCCATTTATTTGGAAGACTGGAATTTATTGCATTGTCGTTTGGGTAACCCCCATTATGTATGTTTGAAAACAATGTTGCGGAATAAGTTTCTTCCCAGTGTTTTGGGTTCTAATTCTTCTTATGAAACTCCTTGTGTTAGTTGCATTCAAGAGAAAATGAGTCAGATTTCTTTTGGGTGTAGTGATACACAGTGCTGCAACTTTTTATTTGGTGCACACAGTGTTACACCCCGCTCTTCCCAAGAGTCAAAATGATTACTATACCCTTGGTTTAATTTGTCAAGTTCCACCACAATATCGAGGAGGACTGAAAATGTGAACTCTATGTTCAAAAGGGGTCGAGTTTCAACATAAAACGAGGAAGTTACGGATGTTAATTGAATTTCGGATTAAAGTCACCCATAATTGTGAAATTCCGAAAATACCCTTGGAGTAATTAAAACCCTCAAGACCTTTGCCCCACTCGGTCTCATCAAACAAAACCAATAAAACCCTCAATTTTTTATTCCCTACGCGATTGAAACCCTTTCGGCAAGGAAATAAATGAGAGCAGCTAGCTTTCCACAGCCGCTCGTGGCCAAGCCGCATCGCCGGGAAGACCTCCTTTCCCTTGCACAAATAAAGAAATCCCTCGAAGAAGTTCCCATGTCAATTCCATACGAAATGTCCGGTAAGATCGAGTGCTCTTCCAGCGGTAGAGACAAAGTGGTGATCGACTGCAACGACGGCATCATCAGTTTCGTCGATCGTGGCCTCAACTTCAATTCAGGATTCTAATCTCACTCTTCCTCCGTCCTTTTCCTACAGCGGCTCCAGCAAAGAAACTTCTTGTTAACTATTGGGGAAGATGAGCAATTAGCTTCCGAACAATCCTTCATGTGCCTCCAGGTTTTTGACCTCGATAAGCCGTCGCAACAACATGAGGGAACTAGAGACCACGAGGAAGTGATATTGCATGGCTAGGGTTTGGAATTATATATTGGAAATTTGGACGTGTGGATTGATGGGACGGATGGAATTATACAGTGGGGATTTGATGAAGACGTGAGAGGGATGATCACTTACAAAGCTCTTGGTGGGAACTCTAAGACGATCAGCATTTGAATGATGGTTTGTTCGAATCAATCCACTTGATCGTAAGGTGAGTGTAAAGGGGTAAATTCTACGTCTTACGTATTTTTTTTTAAGTATTATGATTTTAAGTATTTTAGCGAATTGGTTACTGTTGCTTGATTATGTTTATGATTGATTCTTTGTGCTTTGCTTGAGCTATGATTTGAGGTGATTTTGTGCTATTTGAGGTGATTTAAGGTGACTTTGTGCTATTTACCTTAAAGGGTTATGTTATGAGTTATTGTTAAAGTTTCTCACCTTCAAGAAGGTGAAGTTATTTTAAGTGTTTTTAGTCGCTAGCGCCAGTCCGTTGCCATTTGAGATTTTCAGATAGAGCAACAGTTATGCTCTTGAGACTTTTAAGATGAGCAGCAGTTATGCTCTTGAGAATCGTGGTGAAGAGCCACCACGATAAGTTTAAGATGTTAGGGGGATGAATCGTTACGACTCCCCTAACTAAGTTTAAGTTTAAGGAAAGCCTGGATGGCTTCTCATACGTATGAGTTGGCAACCGGACTAGCTAGTGAGGGATCCTCGTGTCGGTCAAGTATTTAAGTCAAGATTTGAGCTTTAACAGAGGAGAGTAACTTCAACTCCCTCACAGTTTTAGAGTTAAGATTTTAAGATTGGAAGTACAAACAACTTCCACTAGTCAAAAGTTAAGTGTTTAAGTAAAGTACTCAAGTATAAGAATTATTAAAACATAAGGGCGTAGAATGACCCCATTTCACTCACCAGTTTGAAGAGCTAGAGGAGCTAGAAGAGCAGTTAGCGAGCAGCGAGTTCGAGGGCAGCCAGCTAGAGGAGAGCAGTACAAGCGTCACGGAGGATGCTTAGTCAAGGTTTTCAGTAGCAACAACTTTAGAGATTGTTAGTTATTTACAGTTATGGTTATGAGTACAGACTAGAGATCATTTTGAGATTTTTAGTATTGAGTTTGCCCACTCGTTAGGGCTTTGCTTTGAACTACAAGAGTGTGTTTTCAGTATTTTATTATTAAATTTTTCCTGTTGAAGTTCAAGATTTGGTTATTTTATTTTTCAAGGGATTTTAGTAAAAGTAGTACCCGGCCGGGTTAGGGTGTTACATTTTGGTATCAGAGCCAGGCTTCCTCTGTTCCTTGGTCTTCAAGGAATACTGGAATATCGGTCTCAGTTTTAAAGGCTTTTGTTTTAAAGGAAAGGAAAACGAGTCAAGGATCTTCTTTTAAGAGTTTATAGAATCTCCAGTCTACTCTAATCATATTAAGGTGAATAACTGTGACAGCACGACACGAAAGGATGGTAGCCCGGGGTGCGATTGTTTTAGAATAGGCTAGGACAGTTTATCAAATGAGAGATTTAGGCATATGGTGATCGCCAGTGAGAAAGAAAGGATGAAAAAAACGTGACCAACCCAAGTAGAATCTCAAAGGCTCTCAAGATCAAGTATCACATCGACATGATGGATAGTAGTTTTTCGATTAGTTAACCAACTACTCGGATGTTAGCAAACAAATCATCATTATCAACCTAGAAAAGGAAGGAGGAACGTTGCAAAGGTCTGTGGAGGTAGAATCAAATGTGCGAGGACTTCAACTCTAAACACCAGCAAAGAGGTGCCAATTGAAAGGGAATACCTCAAAGATTTTGAAGGAGTTGAGAGAGTAGTACGAGGATTTTACTACTAGGAAACAAGTGGATGATCTAATAAGCTAAGACAAACAAAGTAGAGAAATATGAATCTCCAAAGGAAGAGGTACAATCACCAGATGCCAGTAGCTATGATAATAGGATGATGTTAGGGTCTTTGGTCCTAAGCAGTGGAAAGCAGGCAACGGGTCAAGAAACGAAGAGGTACCCCGAGAAGTCCCTCAGCTAGTTTTTGTGGTCGATGACTCAACGCCATTACAACACAGTGACAAGGAGTAGAGGAATGTTTAGACTTTAAGAAATGCTAGGGTAGTATAAAGGAAGCGAAGGAGGAAATAAGTAGGTTATAAGGAGTATGAAAGGACGCCAAGAAGTGAACAAGTCAAGGCGAAGATGAGGCATGGTCATTTACATATGACGACAAAGGAACCCTTATACATAAACTACGTCACTAGATAAGAGGGTACATAACCCTAGGAAGTTAGGCCGATGAAACCCCTTTAGAAGGAACAAGACAAGCAAGGAGGTAGACGTGGAGGAAAGTGCCACCAAAGTCTAAAGCATGCCTAGTAGAAGACAGTGGGGAGTCAATACATAAGAAAAGACATGGAAAGTGAGAGAGAATAATAGTTAGCTAGTAAATGGCAGTACGAATAGAGAACTACTCCTTAGCAAGGCGTGAGTTGAATACTAAGTTAACATCGAGCTAGAAAGATGATATTAGAGACACTACAAACTACCCAGATCATGAAAGGTCAGGAGGTCGTTGGGACCGTCGAAAGGGGAATGCAAGAGTTCATGATGATATTGTATGTGGTTGTCCTATCCTAAATGGAGGGAGCACCTAGCCACCTATGGTTTGTGAGGGGTGACAAAAGGAGGAACCTCCACAGTAAGTTGGAAATAGGGGCTAAGAGTTGAAGTCTCGAAACTAGCTATAGAGTAACTCATTAAGCCAACCGAGTATAGACAAGTAAGTGGAACGTTCAATAAATGTTCTAGTGAATGGCAGAGAATTCGAGGAAGCACATGGAAGTTTCGATGAAGGATTGAGAATATGTGTAGAGAAATCGGGTTTAAGAATTGCGTAGTGGAGTACGACGAGGAAAAGCATTACCAAGAAGGAGGAAATCATTTACCTTACCCAAGGTGCCCCACTCTGAGTGGGAGCGGCATAGTAGGATGTCATCCAAAGGAAGCGGCTAATTAAGGATAGGTAAGATACGTTCAGTTAAGCCACTAAGAACCCAGAATATGAGATTAAGGCCATATGCAGGCATCAATCGAGACAAATGACGTGAATGAGGTATGTTAAAGCCTACCCAAGGAAATCCTCTATTGGAAGCTTTGACCCAAACAATAACGAGAAGATACTCAATGGAGTTTGGAGACCAAATATAGTACAAAGAAACAACGGAAGGAGAACACCATAGGACGTTACAGAAACTAAATGGTGGTCGTCGACCGGGCAATGTATGCGTCAAGGAAGATAGCTAGGATAGACCGAAGCAGGAATATAACAAACAACAAGATAGCATTAGGTTGATTACCAGTAGCGAACAATCAATCCATAGGAAGTCCATCAAGAAATTTTGGCCAATTGTAAGGTGGAATCGTGGTCGTTAAGAATAGTCAAAGGGAGAACTTTATAAGTCAAGGACTCAAGGTACATTAGTAAGAAGAGAATATGGGAACCTAGATGACTACATCGAGAATAAGGGACATCATCTAGAACTAACGAGGAACATCAGGAACAAGAGCACGAGTAAGGAAGTAAGATGGATATGAGTTTAGGGAACCTACTAGGGTACCCCAATGTGGAACCAAGACCGCCTATGAGGGTGAAAGGTGGCGATCTCTCGAATGAAAATTTCTTGGACGGGGAAACTATACGAGGAATTTCAGGCAAGGTCTAAGACCAATTTAAGAGATCGTACGAGAACTCCCAATTCAAGCGGTGATAAGGAAGTGTTAAGTTAGGCGCCAGGAGTGAACAAGTACTCAAAATGGAAGTTCGTGATTCTAGAAAGAAGTCATAAAGTTGATCGCAAGCTAGAGAAAGATGCAAGGAATGCCTTTAATGCTTATAGAGAGTAAACGCAGTGGTATGTGGGTTTCAGCGCTAAGCCATAGGTAAGAAGAAGATGATTATGCAGTAAAAGATTAAAGGCTAAGACGGAGTATTGGGGAACAAAATTAAGAGGTACAGAGCTAGGAGGTACAAAGACCTAGGGGACATGCGTGTTCAATCACAGCTAGGAGTTATGGAAAATGGGTGAGTCATCAATCGGCCAAGAACCACAATGAATTGGAGGGAAAGATTCATAGCTCAAGGTCGTACAAAGTAACGGAAGTATAAATCCCTATAGTAGAAGGATTACCTCAAGTAGGACTTTAAGCTACCACGATGAACAAATTTCGAGGTCAAAATTTTTCCTAAGGAGGGGAGGAATATGATATCTCGAGTTTGGATTTAGGTTCAACAACAACTACCAGGTGAATTGGATAAACATCGCAAACCAAATCGGTGTTTTCATCACTGTTGAGTCAAGTTGTGAAATAAAAAGGGCAGTGAGTCACTCAAGGTTACACGAGTGCTACTAGCTAAGGGAATACTAATGATCAAAGGTTAACAACGAAGTCTTATGGTAAGAATAAATAATCGCGGGAAGGAAGTATAAGAAGGGTGCTGATAGAATAATGAGTTCAGAGCAAATTTCGGGGACGAAATTTTTATAAGGTTGGAGGAAATGTTACACCCCGCTCTTCCCAAGAGTCAAAACTATTATTATACCCTTGGTTCAATTTGTCAAGTTCCACCACAATATCGAGGTGGACTGAAAATGTGAACTCTGTTCAAACGGGGTCGAGTTTCAACATAAAATGAGGAAGTTACGGATGTTAATTGAATTTCGGATTAAAGTCACCCGTAATTGTGAAATTCCAAAAATACCCTTGGAGTAATTAAAACCCTCAAGACCTTTACCCCACTCGGTCTCATCAAACAAAACCAATAAAACCCTCAATTTTTAT